TCTGATAACTTGTAGATGATTTTGAAAAAGAATTTGGGTCAATTTGAAGCAAGTTGAAAAAATACATTTTTGACCTTGAAAAGGTCACTGAAGGTCAAATCTTAAATATAAAGTCAGATTTGAACTTCTGAAAACTGATGATTTTGAAAAAAAAACTGAAGTCATTCGTATTTGTTAAGTTTTTGGAAGTTTTAAGAATTTGTAACAGATGCCAACCACTGACTGCCAAAAGCCGATGGCCAACCATCAACGGCCGTCCCAAAAAACGGAGACCTTAACAATGTCAAGATAACAATATGTCTGGTGACATAATAACACATTATATGATTAATGTATTATACTAGGAAGTAGTTGTGAGAGGGTTAGCAAGGCGTTAGTGATTATCATAATTTTTAAAATTGTTCATACAACAAGCATGTTGGAAACTTGTATTTATTACAGGTAAGTACATTTAGGTGTATCGGTTAGTAAATCAAACTATAATAAAGATGTCATGTGAGTATGACTTCATAACAATTGTTCAAATCAATAATTGGTGTATCAATATAAAGAGTTGAGGGATTGCCAATAATCAAAATAATCAAAGAATGAATTATAATCTTACCGGAGTTTTACTTATATTGCTTCGTCTGATCACTTTACCAGGGATATCATCTTCTCTAGATCAGCCTGAAACATGATTTTAAAGCCATCAATGTCACTATTCTAAGGAATCAGGTCAATTTATCTATGTTGTTCTAAAACAGTAATTTATGAACAATTCGAACATGACTGTATTCACACCTTCTATAAACTGTAAACAAAGTCAACATTTCACCCGGGGTATATTCGCGAAGAATACCCTGGTAATACGTGTAATGTGTGACATCATAATGGTGGGTCGTAGTAATGGCGGAACAATAATGAATATTCGAAACATTTTGGTGAGTTTTCATGTTCGAATCGTAATATAGACCGAAGAGCAGTTGAAATATCGTTGAATACAACCCTTAGGGCTCAGCACAAATGCTTTCAAACCCCTCACTCCCTTCGGTCGTTCATGGTACGGAAAATGTTTGTGCCTAGCCCTGCGGGGTGTATTCGAAAATATTTCCCCTGCTCTTTGGTCTATATTTAAATAATAAATATAAAACAAAAGTTTGTGGTGTCCTACCTTAGAATGGTTTGATGATATTTCTAATGGTTCCAACATCCAATTAATCAATCTAACAGAAAGCTGCCATATTTGCAAATACATTTCCATTGCCAGGGTTACCACTAATCATCAGGACTTGGTAATGTCATCAAGATCATCTACCTTCAACTGTTAACAAGAATTCTTATCAAACATTTGTGATATTGACTAATCTGAATCAAATCAGAAACTGGTTAAAGGCTTTTAATGTTTACGATAAAAAGCTGAATTTAACATTTTGCCTGACATTTTGTTAGTTCCTAAAGCTTTTAGATGATTTGAATATGTTTCTATGTTTGATATGAAAGATGCGAAACCTTGTACTCTTGATTCAAATTACAGATGCTTATAACTCCACTCCAAAATTTTGGCTAAATCAAATTCCCTATCATTGGTGATTTAAAAAATCATATTTTTGACTAGTACTAGTACTGTAATTTAGAAAACCTAAATGTAAACTACAAATGGGTTTAATGGCTAACCAATGAGGAGTTAGGATTTCAAAGATTTTAGAGGGGAGTGTACATGTATTTGATGCATATTTACCTTGAACTTGTGTAATGAATGTTTGACAATGTTTTAGTCAAAAGGCAATATAGGGGCAAGACTTCACCTGAGCTGAATAAGAACAAAGGTTCGATTACGTTCCGTATATAAGCTTTCGATCTTATAATTATGTTCTAGCATATCTAACACAGGTTCCATGGCCAGATAAAATACTCAATGGGACCAAGAACATGTATGACATGACATGTTTCCACTAAGAAGATCATGCTTTATTCACCTTACAGTGTATGCCAAGACACCCACATAGGTGCATTAGCACCAGTTGATGAATTAAGATCACTTTTCAGTGCAATAAAAAAGAATTAAGATACCTGATCAGATATACAAGTTATTGAGATTTTAAGACGCAGGAAGTTCTGTGGTCATTAGCGTTGGATTATCCTTTTTGCCAGATAACTGAAACTGAAGGATAATTCTGAAATCTCTAGTCTTTGCTGACCCTTTAATTTGAGATAGAAAGTCTGCTTGTTAGAAATTCACATGTTTATTTATTATATTTACAGTATATAACAATTATTGAATCTTCCTTGAGGGTTTGGTCATATACCTAAGTACAATACCATGTGTAATAGGTATTCATTGTCCATTTACCACTTGACAAATATTTTCTCATAAAATTCTATATATAGATGTTGAATGTGAATAATTTTTTCAGATATAACAGTGATCTCCCCAGCATTAAACCAAGTGGGCGCAGCACCCACCTGGGATTTTAAAAACAGACTTGCAGCCACCTGAAAATCCATTTGCACCCACTTGAAAGTGAGTAAAATCATGAAAATTGGGCATATTTTGACCAATTTCAGTGTGAATTGTGAAAATGAGAATTTTGCACCCACTTGAGAAAAAATTCTGGGGAGATCACTGTATAAGATAAATCCAATGTTTTGAACAGGATGATACACAATGACATACAAATGTACCAAACTTCACAACTATGTACAATTGTACATTTACAATTTAAAAAAATGATTTCATTAATATCAAATATAGCATAATTTTTACGAATGTAAATATCATGATCATGATCAATAAAATATAAAATTCAAGTGATCACATTCTTCAAGTCCTATAGAGTCCTCAGTGTCTCTAAATGTCCATAAATATCACCAGGCAAATTACAGTAATAATTGAACACTGATAATACCGATTAAATGGTATTTTATAAGTTTCAATCCATAAGTGCCAGGTCCTGCCCATGTCTTCTTGGGAAACTGGAATAAGAAAAATAAACTGATCATGAATTTTTTCAATATCAACTACAGTGCATGTCAACGAAAGTGGAAAACCCTCCTCCTATCAGAATAATAATGTCCCAACTCACATTTTTGTGAAACTGAGAAATCAATTTTTGAAAGTTCAGACACCTGTACATCAACAGTATCTATCTGTCATGCGTGAAATTTTTGTATTGTTTTTGTCATAAATATGTGTATATATATATATATTTCTTTATTGCGACCAATTCTGATCATATACATATGGTTTAACATAAAAGGTTATAAAAGGTTAATAATGAAGAAAAAACATACACAAATATAACAAAATATAGTTGTTTAGTGCAGGACGTTTAGAGTATTGAGAAATCTAGATCTCAATTGGTACATACGTATGATACACCGTCCTGGCTATTATAATACAATCATCATATTCATTTGGGGCAAAAATATTCTTAATTACATTTAAGTCACTTCCGCCTAAGTAAGGTCGTATAGGATCTCTAATTGTTTCCAGCCCATCACAGAATTTAATAAAATGTAACAATGATTCATGCGAATTACACATTGGGCATACCCTATTCACATTAGGCTCGGTGTGACGACCAACACCTTCACCAACCAGTAGTCTTACCATAAGTTTACATTTGAATATCATTTCAAGTTTGTATTTACATAGCTGGTACCAGACTATTGGAGTACGAGTAGTTACTACTTCTCTATAGTGTTTGATTTTATTGTATGTCATACATTGAATACGCCATCTTTCCAGAGACTTTGTAAGAACAGAACTATTCACTATCTTTTTCCAGTGCCACTTGGATGGAAATGTGTTATTGGAAATATAGCTATCCATTCTTCCTATAAGATAATATTGCATTCCAAGTTGTAATTTCCCTAATGGGTGATCAAACGGTTACAGAACATTTATCTACGAAGAAGCTATATAGTATAGCATACCATCTAAAGATACTTAACTTCTTACAAATACCAACACTAGTACTAAAAATGAGCCAGAAATACATGAGCTTCCTGATTGCAATGGTTTCGCTTATACCAGTCCAACCAAGTTGAGCAATCGCGGCACAATCAGTCGTGTTCTTTGGCAGGGATTGAATCGACTTAGCCGAATTGGCATGCGCCTTTTCTAAAATTTTAATATTTGATACATTATAATTCAATACCTCGACACCATATAGCATAGTAGGAATTGAAACAGCCCAATATAAATTTGAAGCAGGTAAGGGATTTACGCTACACTTTTCGGGGGTGACACAGTCTACAGTGGCATAGAAATTGCGCCTTGCCCTAGATGTTACATTGTCTAAGTGATAGCCTATATCCCGCTGTGTAACTGGTAACCCAAGATGAACCAGGTCTTTGTTTATCGGAATCTTAGCAGATCCGAAATCAAATGGTTTGACATCTTTAAAATTACTTCTTGTAAAGTGAACTGCTGCACATTTCCCTGGATGGATCTCAAATCTCCATCTATTTGCATAATTATAAAGATGGATATATCATATCAAAAATGGAGATAGGACAATTCAATATCCAATTTTTCATAACATCGAAAGATTAAAGATGAGGTATGTCTATTTCACTATGTATTTTCAATGATCACAAATTTCTCTATATATTTTTACAAAAATAAATTCAAAATAGTGTCCCACTTACAAATGATTTGTTTAACAATAAGTTAATGGTCATTGGAACATTTATTTAAGCCTAACATACAGAGGTGTTCCCCTTTACAAGTTTTACAGAAAATAAATAAATGAAACAAAATATTAAAATATTACAAATGTATCAATTAATTCAACAAGGCATTAACACACAAAATGTCATCACCTTTCATTTGTTACAGATACCGAACACCAACTGCCAAACATTGACTGCCAAACACAGACCACCAAACACCATCCACAAACATTGGAGACTATATCAATATGTCACTACGTTTGGTGTTGACATACTAAACTGAATAAAGCTCAATATTGTACCTGTCAGAGCTGAAGGTCCTGATGTCAGGGGTCCTGTATTTAGTAGAAATCCTCCTCTTCATCTTTCTTCTTAGTATTTTTCTGCTGATTCTGGATCTGGTCCTGGTTCTTGTACATCTCATACACCTGAAAACAAACAAAAATTCCAGTGCTGTTGAATTGCAATGAACTAGACAAGGCATTAACATTTTTACAATTGACAAGGCATTAACATAAGACTTCAGATTTAATTGACCTATATACATTGTAGTATACTAAAGAGCTGAGTGAATACCTGAGATGGGTAGCTGAGTAGCGGTTAGAGTAAGACGGACGGACGGACGGACCAACGGACGGATGGACGCCTGGTCGATCCTAAGGCTCACTGTGTGAGCCAAAAATGATCTGCTATTGATTACCGCTCACTTAACATGGGGTTGCTAATTTGGTGGCAATGGGTCGGATTATCATCTTATCGTTTTTTGGAGATATCAAAAGGTCACATTGAATCTGGAGAACTTTTTTGTTGACCTACTTTCCAGACAACATATCTCAGATTGGTAAGCTTAAAGAGTAATAAAAAATAGATGGCACACTCTCGATTCAGCTGTTTCTAAGCTATATGATAAAAATATTATACTGTATGTGTAATGCCCAGCATTATTTACTTCTTAGTTCAAGAACTGTAGATTTAGATTATGAACTTTATTTTTATTACACATGCATACCCATAAAGGGTTAAGTGTACACAAAGTAAACACTAATTTTACAATATATCAATACAACAGAAAACAGTATATATAACATCACACACAATTAATACTTCATAATAAATAAATAAGTAAATAAATGAACAAATAAATATTTATCATGGATGAGCACATGAATGGTGATTGTGATACGGGTCCATTGTTTATGTCATGTATCACACCCTTCTATGTTATATTACATTTATGAATAAATTCTGCTACAATTTCAATTTCTTTATTTTCACAAAACATACAATATTGGAAAAAGGGAATCGTCCTCCATGTTGAATTGGATTGCCGTGTGATTCAAGTTTAACGAGCATTTGCTTTCTATATATACTGTATTTTTTACATGAAAGCATTATATGTTTTTCGTTTTCTATTAAATTGCAAACCTCGCAAATTCTTTCATCAATCTTTAATTTTGGGCGTTCGTATCTACCCGTTTCTATTTTTAATTTGTGGTTACTGATACGAAAACTTCAAAACTAATCTTTGATTTACAAACAACTTCGGATGCGTCAATAGTATATTGTGTTACATCTAGTAAAGTATCATTGATGTTGCTGGGAGTATCTCCTGAAAACGATACTACCTCTAATTTATCCATTACACTTTTAAAATTCCACGATGACTCATTGTTCTTTGATAGGTCATTAGATGTAGTAAGTGCTTCTGATAATAAGATGTATGACGTATTTAACATGTGATTATAGAAATTAGTAACTTGTTAAAATATATTTATATATAGTGAATATACGAGAGAAATGAACACAAATACATTTTCTCATATGATATCTCATATCAAATAGTAATGCAGATAAACAATTTAATTGATTCATGTTTATTAACTGTGCATGTACTGTGTGATAATTGTTGAATTCATGCGCTGTATATTCTGTCAGTCAACTTAATTTGGCACAAATTGGGAAAATGGCGATGTTTTAATTCAATTCGACAAATTAAATTGGCCACCAAATTAAGTTGACTAACAATATATGTATAAGCAAAAAGCTGTGTTGTTTTAGGACAAATATAATCAATAACATTCATTTCTTTAAATCACACATATATTTTTAGAAAACAGTCTTTGTTGATTGAGGATCATTATATGTGTCCTAGATTTATGTCTATACATGGAGTTCCCTGTGTCTCAACAGGCAGACTATTTGGATGTTTCGTATCTTTCATTGTTATGTCAATTGTATTTGTATTGGTATGGTCTTCTGAATTCTCATTTATAAAACCTGGAGCTTTTGGCATGATGTTATTACTGTTAGACACATTGCCGATTTCCACTTCAGGATCGCTTTGTTCTCTCATTGTCCCTCTTGCACCTGTAAAGGCTTTGTTCACAAGACCAAGATGAGAATCTCTCTTGGAGCGTGTGGGATAAGCAGTAAAAGGTATTTCTACATTATCCCTGTTTAGGCCTAACAGTTTCAATACAGCCTTTCGCAGCTGTCGATCTTTCTCACAAAATATCACTGGATTGAATATAGATTTTATCAGCAAGATGTTGAATGTGATCTTCGTTAGTAAAATAATGGCATTGGCATCAAGATTTGTACGTGGTAGAACCACCCTCACAAAAAGTAATGGAATCCACGACAGTATGAACAGTCCAAGAATTATTACGACAGTTTTCAGAATCTTGAAGCTACGTTTATATGCTACTGCTCTAGCATGGTCAACAGCTTGTATCTGAGCCAAAATCTGAGATTGTTTTATTTTGGCAATCCAGAATATCTTACCATACAGAATTGTGGTTAGGCTCAGTGAACCATAAATCAATGGATTCAGGATTGCAGAGTTGGATATTCTATGAAGTGTATTCAGTACAGAGCACCGATCTCTCACATCCCATGTGTTCCAACCAAAGAATACAGGAATGATGATTGAGATGACTAATCCCCATGACATCAGAGTCAGTATAATTGTATTTCTCTTACACATCCAACGATCATAACGAAATGGCAACACAATCGCAACAAACCGCTCAATGGCCAATGTTACAAAAAAGAACAAAGCACCACCTGTCGCTAGCAGTGTAAAGAATATTCTCAAAATGCAAATGTATTTTTTATCAACTGTTCCTAGCACAATATCTCTCGCAATGTCATATTCATAAATCATCAATTCCCGGATAGGTATTCCAAAGAGAGCTTGGAGAAGGTCAGCTATTGCCATATTCAGAATTATGATATTGGGAGGTTTCTGCAAGTGCTTATTTTTAAACACTACCGTAATCAATAAGCCATTTGTAAGAATTAAAGGAACGAAGATGATGCCAGAGACACACATCAGTCCGATATGAACACTACTTGCATTTGTTTCATTCTGCCAGTTATACAATTGGCTAAAGTTTTGTGCAAATGTTGCAGTTTCATCCATTTTATTGTTTCTTAACGCTTCTAAATCCTCACAAACAGTCTAATTTTTAATGGCAAAACTATTTATCTTTATAACTTATTATTTATGCTATTTTATTGTTTTCCATACTATTTTCCTGTACTGCTTTTTATTTTATTATTTCTTTTCACTCAGTTCATTTATTTCATAACTTATTATTGAAATCTAATTGTCATTCTTCTGCTGAAATTGTGGTATAACACTACCTGATGGATATGCCGTCACTGATTTATAATAATGAAAATTACATGTTATTATACTGCAACTTATCTCAACTTATACAGGGTATGCCAAAAAAATTGCAACTTTTCTAAAAGGCTAGAAAAGTATTATAACACCAAGGTAATGACATAAAAATACATTTACAGAAACTTTACTGGTTAAGGAGATGCATAATTTATTATTCAAATATTTCAGCAACACTGACTTCAATTTTTTGTCAGATCTTTGGATATCAATGGAAAATTGTTCATTTGCCAGATTTTTCTTTTTTTCTAGAAAATGTGACTTTCTATGATTTTATTTGATCAACAATATCACATTCATTATATGCACTAAATCTTTTACAATCTTTAATAACTGTTTAACCAATGATTAGTTAAGATTTATATGAGAATCTAGTCAATGGAATAATCCAGTGATTCTTGTAGAAAAACTCTCTAATATACCAGATGCCAACTCCTGTGACCATCACACATGGGGGCACCAGGGGCAGCGTATTGAAGTTAATGGTTGTTTTGTATTGTATTGTATCTTGGTTACATCCATATTTGGGAGTAATACCTCATTGGTGTATTCCGTAATCTAAGTATATCACACTCAAAGACAGCTGAAACCCCTCCTTGGAGGAGCCCTTTGTTGTTTGTGTACACTTGAACACAGACATATAAGTATACACACCACAGCCAAACTTTGATCAACTAAAAGAAGTTCTGCAGGAAAAGTGGAGAGAACTTCCACAATAATCTCTGGATTGTGCCATTGACCAGTCCTGCCCTTGTCTCAGTGCCAAAGTGAAGGTGAAAGGCAGAAGCAAATGACATTTAATATTCAAGATAACAAAATCTAGAACAATATTTACCTTCAAAAAAACTATAAATCTAAAGTACAGATACTTTGCAGAATTCAATTACAAGATTTTGAACAATTTATTTGCGTGTGGAAATCTGGTCTCTAAGAGGAACAGTAACGTTCAAAGTTCCTGCCTGTCCATATGTAACTCCATTCATACCTCAAAGCATTTGCTTTTTGAATGTAAAAAGGTAACCCCAAAATGGGAAAAATTCAGTTAAGTTCTAAAATTTCATATCAAATATAAACATCTAATCATCGGTTGGCCTTGTGGAAACAACATAATTACCCACTACAGAAATTCTATTGTATCTTTTTGTATTATTGGTGTATTTTTCTGCTTTGTATTTTATATCAAATGTATTGTCTGTATTGATATATCTATAAAAACAGAAAAAATTGTTATAAAAAATAGGACATTTGTTAAATAAATAATCAATAGCTACTGTGCAACATAATACCATCGTGACTAGATACTGTTTTCGAAGATTGTAGCAGATTTAGTGAAAATAATGTATGTGTTATTGTTGATCACATAAAATCATAAAGTCATATTTTCTCGAACAAAAAAATTTAAGTCTCTCCTTAAAGAGATCAGGTCGTCCAGATTTCTATTCTGGACAATCAGTAATGTCCCGATATAATTGCTCATAAAACATCGTATATACCTTAGATATATCTGGAGACCAAATCATAAGCACAATTTCACCAATATATTGAGGAAATCAACAGGACAACCAACAGAACAACCAACTGTCAGAATTAAACACAATAAGTCGAAAACAATAAACAATGTTTTTTGGGGATTTATCTATATTTTAACACCTTAACGCAATAAGTTGAAAACAATTTACAATGTTTTTTGCTCACACAATGAGCCTATGGGATCGACCAGGCGTCCGTCCGTTGGTCCGTCAGTCCGTCAACATTGGCCGCACAAATTAAAACTGCTATTCGGATTGAGTCATATCCACATATCCATAATGCCTATTTGACCAATCATCGCCATTTCCCAAGTTCGCCCGGTTTCCGCTGATTTTGACTTCAAAAAGTTAAATTTTCTGTAAATACTAGACACTTTGTTGAAGTAGAACTTTCAAATAACTTGTAGTAGTTGCTGTATATGCAACTTATGTCCTCTGAAGATTTCAAAGCTCTTGGAATTACAGTTTTTGGTGTTTACTCTATAAAATTTGACAAAAAGTAGGACTTGGTCATTTTCAGGAAACTTTCTTGAAACTTTTGTGATTGACAAGTTTCTTAAAGTTTGCCTTATACTTGATCATTTCTTGCAATGAATTACATAATTACAAGATTTAAGCATTCCCTACATATTGCTCAATATATGTCAGCTTCAATTTGACCAATTTTTTTTTTGAAAATCATCTACAAGTTGCCAGGAGTTCAAATCTGACATTAGTTTTAGGATTTGACCTTCAGTGACCTTCGAAAGGTCAAAAAAGTTGATTTTCAAGGTCAAAGGTCATCAAACTAGGTTACACAACTGTGCTATCTAAGTTTCTCAAAGTTCGAGACTACAAATCCAAATCAATATTTTTGTTTGAAAGTCAGGATATACATTCCTCTGAAGGTTCCAAACTGTGTGAGCACAGGACCGTGGGTCCTTTATTTGGGATTTATCTATATTTTAACCCCTTAGAAGTAATAAATATGGCTTCTCTGAGCCAAAACAAGCTGTTGAAACTGAAGGAAAAAGCCATTCAGACTGGAACAAATTTAAGCGGGCTTTTTAAATTTTATTTTGAATTTCTACTGATGTAAGTGGAAATTCATGGCTAGGAACAATCATCGAATTGATACAGTTAACGAATTAATTCAAGCCTCAGAATTGGTAAGTTGACTTGTTTTACATCAAATAACACGAAAAAATTAGGGGGTTACTCTAATTGTGTTTTTAGGAGACCCTATCAGGTCTCCTAAATCAGATAAAGATTGACCCAAGACGATTGATGTCATCATGCAGTTTTCCTAATTGGAAATTAATCCCTTGGACATAGAGATGTTGATCGTACGTATAATCATGTTGTAAGCCATCATGCAGTTTTTCTAATCATGTTGTAAGCATGCCTCATGTTGGGACTATGATCTGTTTATTCTATAAGAATCATAACAAATATATGACCTCAAATTTTATTCTTGCCAATTTGCCAAAAACCTCACTAACTATTCTGTCTTTTAACAATGAACAAAATAAAATTTTCGGTCATATATTACGCCATAAATCATAAAATCTCAGTCTTTATTCCCTTAAATATACATGTACTGCCTCACATGTTTTGTTCAAGAATACCAGACCCATACAATCTTTACACAAAGATCAATTTAGACTAACATTTAAATATCTACACCATGTAGGTAGATCATATATGGTTTTTATTTTCATTGTCATATCCAGTAATATATCTATTAAACGTTTTAACCCATATTAATATCAAAGTCATAATTGGTAAGTTTTTAAATCCAGTATTACTGACGGACTGACAGACAATCATATTTCATTTGTAGCTGCTGCTATAAAGACTTTTTGGGTCTAGTACTCTTCAATACAGTGTATATCCCTACTGAACTTTGTTCATTGGGATAATAAAACCACAATTCAAAGACCTCATATATTAACATAAAAGCTTCTTTCCTCGATCCTTGGAGCTATTTACTACTGTATAATATTAAGATTTTTGGAGGAGTGATTGTACATATCCAATGGTTTTTCTACCTCTTGATATTTGAATACTTCTATGCAATATTTACAAGAATATCATACCTGACTGTTACTAGTTGCTTCTTCAGGTTTTTTGTCCTCTCTGATCCTTAAGAATCTTGGGAACCTCAGAGATATACCTTTCTCTGGATCAGCCTGAAATGTATAAGTAATGCCTCATATGTCTAAGAGATTTGATAAACAAGGCATTAACATGCAATATGTAACAACCTCCCATTTGTTACAGACGCCAACTGCCGACGGCTGATCACCAACCACTAAACACCGAACACAAAAAAAGTTGGAGACAATAACATATTATATCATTATGTCACCAATTGTGGTGATGACATAATAATATAATATAAAAGATCAGTCAAGTCAAGTCACCATTAATGACAACACCCCCATCTGTGTATATAGATATATCAATGCAGACATCCCTCACTACACATTATTAGTTCACAGGCCCATAGCCGCCTTTTGCTATCACTTTTCAAAAAATTCCTGAGGGGGTTCACATTTGACACTTTGGCCATGAAAAGTGCTCAGATTGTGAAAAACTATGATTTTAAAATAAAATTTGGCCTAAGGGGGAAGGGTTGTTTGCTCAAGCCCCCAACCCCCCCCCCCGCCATTCAGTATGTATAACTCACCAGGCCAGCTGCAGCAGTGTGGACAGGTGATATAGAGAGATCAGCAGCCTTTACTTCCCACACCTGGACAGCATCAAACCAGTGGTCAGGGGCCAAGGATTTATCACAGCGATAATAAGGTTTTGGTTTCTCTATTACATGCTCCTTCAGGAACTTTACATGCTGCTCAAGATCCTCATCCTTAAAACCTGTACCTATCTGAAAATCAATTAATATATCTGGTTTATTAAACTATTTCATTTTATTTTTGTATTGCTTGTACAGTCAACATGTCACCATTGAACAAGACAATGATAAATTATAAATACCATTTTGTGTCTTGTTTTTTTAATGCGAGACAAACATTTGCATTTAATTAGCAGTATTACAAAATATGAATTTCTTGTACTTAATGCTTTTGGCAGTTTGAGTCAATCTACATGAATCCAGTGTTTTCCTAAAGGCAAAATACATCACAGGACCACCAGACTGACAGATTCTACATTTTGACAAGTTTATACCAAAGCTCATCAGACCTGTAACTTAAGTTTAATCACCAGTCCTTGTGAAAGTGAACCAGTCTAAAGGACTCTAGCATCAACATGTGAGAAATAAAAGTTCTAGATTTAAGAGCATTTTCAGACAGCTATCGCACCAAACTTGGAGTTAAGAAATATTTAATAGATGAGCAACTGGACATAGGCAGAATTGTGGACTGGCTACTTGATAAAACTCATCAGTCCGAACCCTATATCACTGGATTTGTCCCATAGTCTAATGCTTGAGAAAAACACTGCATGAATCCCTCACCTTGCAAATAGTTTGATATTCTTCATTTTCTTCATCATAACAAGCTAACAGGAAACCACCATATTTGCCAGTTCGTTTCCCACTACCATGGTAACCACCAATCACAACAAGGTCAAGGGTGTCACCAACGCCATCTAGGTAGTCTTTTTTCAACTGAAATCACAAAATAAAATATCTTAGCAAGACCCTTAAACTTAACTAGCATGCTATTTCAAATTACGAGTAATACAAGGCATTAACATGCAAATTGTCAACACCTGCCATTTGTTACAGATGCTGACCACCACCGAATGATGAAAACTAACCACCAAATGCCAAACACCGTCCACTTCTGGAAATGACATAATAATCGGTCCCATATTGGTTGTACAAAGGTTCTTTGATTACAGGTTTTATTCGGTAAAGCAGCTGTTGATGTTTTATTGAATAATTTTGCCTTTATGTATGTATGTATGTATAATTTATTTACCTCTTAAATAAAAGAGAGTTACATTCATAGGATGAGCATATAATGGACTTTAAGTAAGATAATTAAAACATATTAAGAAATATGTATGTGTTATATGATAAAGGATAATTAATCTTTACCCAAGAGTAATTGTCTATGCCTGTGCAACTCGTACACGTGCATCGCTATAGGCTTTGTATAAAAAACCTCCTACCCACGTACCCTCGTACCCACGTACGTGGGTCCTGACCCAGTCTTTAAAGAGTTAAATCTTTAACATTTTTTAAACATTATTCTATCTCAATGTATGCTTAATTATGGATGAATTTATGTACCCATATGCCTTTATTTGTAGATCGGACATCTGTCTCGTCATAAAATAAAGCCGGCATTGCATAATGTTCATTTGAGCTATTTGAGTGTTGTTTTTGATATATCGAAGCGATTTTTTGTTGATCGGGCAGTCTTACAGTGTACAACCAATCTATTGCTTGGCGCAAATTGGCCACATGGGGCATGTGTTGTAAAGTGCTGTAGTTTTTGACTCCATGAGCAGAATATGGTCAAACTTTTACAACAAAATTCACATTGAATGACCTGGATGATTCTGGATTGACGAAGTTATTCAACTTTTCATCGGTCCTGTTTTTTAACACCCTGTAGTTTCGATTTTTATCACATATACTTTTTATTCTTTCAAACGATATTACAAGTATTCATTGTTTGCACGACAGATTTGAATTATACGTGTAATTTGTCCTTTGTCTTTTATTTAATTTAACATCAGAATTGGAGATACAAAGTGATAGAGTGATCAATTCACACGATCTCAAGGAATAACAAGAACACAAATGTGTACAAAATGTCCCCACCAATGGGTGATCCCATGAAATGGTTGTCCTGAAAATGAGTAGACAAGACTTTACCAACACAATTTGAGGACGGAAAATCCAAAATGGCCACCTAAAAATTTACCCAGAATGCCAAAAATTTAGTCAGTTCTAGATTTTCAAACTAAGAACCACCCCTGAAAATTTTTAATTGATCCGTCACACAGTTAACTAGAAAACATGTTAACAAGACTTTACAGACAAGATTTTAGGATGGAAAATCCAAAATGGCTGCCTTGACATTTACCCAGAATGTCAAAAAACTAATGTGTTCCTAGATTTTCATACTAAGAATCATCCCTGAAAATATGACATTGATCTACCAAATGGTTCACCTGAAAACGCGTAGACAAGACTTTACAGACAAGATTTTAGGACAGAAAATCCAAAATGGCTGCCATGACATTTACACAGAATGCCAAAAAACTAATCAGATCTAGATTTTCATACTAAGAATCATCCCTAAAAATTTGAAATTGATCTACAGAACGGTTCACCTGGAAATGCATAGACAAGACTTTACAGACAAGATTTTAGGACAGAAAATCCAAAATGGCTGCCTTGACATTTGCCCAGAATGCCAAAAAACTAATCAGTTCTACATTTTCATACTAAGAATCTTCTCTGAAAATTTGAAATTGATCTACCAAACGGTTCAACTGAAAACGCGTAGACAAGACTTTACAGACAAGATTTTAGGACGGAAAATCCAAAATGGCTGCCTTGACATTTACCCAGAATGCCAAAAAACAAATCAGATCTAGATTTTTATACTAAGAATCATCCCTGAAAATTTGAAAATGATCCACCAAACGGTTCACCTGAAAACACGTAGACAAGACTTCACAGACAAGATTTTAGGACGGAAAAATCCAAAATGGCGGACAATAAAAAAGTGATTATGTGTTTTTGCTGATTTCTTCTTACAAAATTATCACATATAACTACTGTTAACAATAACATAGGCTTTTACAACAAAGTACATCTGAAATTATTTATAAAGCTACTAAATAGTTAAAGTATGAAAACTCAAAAACACCATTCAATATGATACAAAGTATTATCGTGCGCTAACTTTTCTTAAGACATTCAAAATGGCTGACATGACTGAGCTAACAGGTCCAAAACCTAATCAGATCTAGAATAAAGTGAGCTGAACAAGATGTTAAAGTTTTAAAAGCAACTGTGAAGCCGTTTTTCTTAAAGTTTGCAGACAAGGATTTTAGCATTTGACTTCAAAATGGCCGACAGGAAGTAGGTATCGACTTGAAACTTTTTCATCCACATCTGTATGCACTCATATGTTATCCCTGAAAATTTGAAGGTGATATCTGTAGCGGTTTTGGAGAAAACTCCCGGACGTACGGACAGACGGACGGACGGACGGACGGACGGACGTACGGACGGACAGACGGACGCGCCTAGGCCGACAATATGGCCCCACACTATGTGGTGGGGACATAATAAAGGCTGCATTTCTGTTTAACCGTGGCGCAATTGAATAACGAAATATTTGAAAAGTAGAAGGATTCGCTATATTCGTTTTTAATCGCTTTTTGGCACAATTTAAGGATAATTGTGCGCACTAGTTCAGTGAATCATTTAGATGGAATTAAAAGTTAGAGTTGCCAAACTTATGCAGGGGAGTGTAAGTTTGGTTTTGTAAACTTCGACATTATTCATGGCCGTATGATCCATAATTAGGTAATATGAAGAGTAGAGTTTTATTTTGACAATGATTTGATGTAAAACTGGTTTGAATGATAAAAGTTCAGCTTGGTAGTTTCTAGCTTTTTGCGGCGTAAAACGTGAATACAATGGACAACAACGACACCAAATCTTTGACTAACATACGTTAATAACGTATAATATTCGTAAGAATGAATTCTAATAACATTTGAAATAAACATCTAATAAAATGTGGTGAATTTAATTGGTTGGAAACTCTAAGAAATATTTTTAAAAAGATGTCAACTTTTGGACAAGGGTAAACTTCCCGGGACATTTACAATCTGCATGAGGTAACAGGAGGCACGGATTGCACTGGACGAAGGCTAGGAGATTGCTTATCAGCACTGATGTGTTATACAGGTAAGACTGCCCGATCAACAAAAAACATTTCGAGATATCAAAAACATAAATCAAATAGCTCAAAAATAATGAACATTTATGCAATTCCGGCTTTATTTTATTTTACTAGAGAGATGTCAGACCTATAAATAAAGGCATATGGATGCATAAATCATCTATAATTCAGGATAAACTGAGATTGAATAATGTTTTAAACATTTAAAAATTTAACTCTTTAAAGACTGGGTCAGGACCCACGTACGTGGGTACGAGGGTACGTGGGTAGGAGGTTTTTTATACAAAGCCATCGCTATAAGTAGCAAGGTTTTCTGATTTTCTGATATAGGTGTGTCACCCTCACGGCGTCTACTATTTACATCATATGTCGAGGTTAACAGCTTAACCATCATTTTACAGAGGTACATGAGATTGGGGTTTTCTTTAGCAATCACCCACCATACATTGGGTTTTAAAGTAGACAGCGATCCTGTCACCACACTTAGATTTTTATACATTGAAGACAATCATAAAGTACAAAGATTGTGAAATCTCTTGACCCGTCCGTACACTACATTCTAAATTCTTGTTTGGATGGAATTTGTGCATTAAAAATCATGTCCTTAACATAGTCTGTGAGATTATAAAATAGAACAGTATCCCACATCTGAGCTAATGGAGACTTCCTACCCTGATATGTTGATTTTAAATACATCATTGTATAAGCCTTTCTAAGCAAATAACCTTATTTATCCCATACTTGGACGTGTTACGGGTACATAAAGCTGGTTTGTAAAAACTTATATTTTCATCAGCGGGCAGATATAGCTTTACGTCCCGCTCCGAGCGGGCAGATATAGTATATCTGCCCGCTACGTCATAATCGCTGTTCCCGTATTGGTCCTTTTTGCATTGTAACATTCGCATACTGTAAACAACAATTGAGAAAAACACAGACAATCGCGATCTGTTTGATGCTTTAAAGAAGGAAAGGAGCAGTATGCCCCGTTAATAATCAAAGATTTGAACAGGAAAATCCGGCTACGGACAAAAATACAAAACTGGACATGAATATTTTAAAATAATTCCACGGTTTGTTGCTAAGTTTCTGAACTTTGGCCAATTGAACAATGTGATTGGTATGAGATAAACAGATCATCCTATAGTCGGCTCAGGATATTTGGATTATCCCTTGGCCAATATAATATATCTTCCCTCGGGACCTACGGCCCTCGGGCAGATATATTATATTGGCCTCGGGATAATCCCAATATCCTGAACCTCTTATAGGATAATCTCTATTTATCCCACCCTAAGTGCTTTATATGATTGTATAATAGCATTGTATAACTGCAATATAAAGCCAACACTCATCGTATACAACTCTTGAGAACGATATACAACTCTGATAGCGTATACAACTCCCGGGCAGCGTATACAACTCTTCGACTTGATATACAACTGCTGAATTTAGATTAACCTTTTATTGATTAAAGATTAGGGTGGGATAATAAGATCATATAATGGTTGATTCTGTATATCGTTATACTCTCGTGAGTATATGATATATTCACTCGTTCCCTTCAGTCACTCGTGAATATATCATATACTCACTTGAGTATAAACACGATATACAGAATCAACCATTATATAACCTCATAATATACAACTTACAGGCAACCTTAACAACATGTACAGAAACATTAATCTATCACAGTCAATTTTTGCTCTAACAGACATCCATCCAAGCAAACTTGTTTAATAATTTTCTGTAACTCTGTTCACTAAAATAAACACACAGTGAGCACTATCAATCTTCATTATTCAGTTATTAGACTGAAAGTGCGGTTACTCTTTTGACTTCCAGTTTGGACTCTCATATTTGTTTGGTCATAACCACTGAGTTGGTGTATATTTCACCTTATTTTTGACTTCAGTTGAGTCTCAATACTCAAAGGATTATTTTGATACTCAAACATGGTCAGAATTGCTTGGAAATCGTAGTTATTGAGTGTGAACCACAAATTTTTTACTTTTTGGGCCAAAACTCCACTCATGGACATGACCTAATATCTATTTATAGATTGCTAAGAAATGTTATAACTGTTTTTTTCTGACAAGTTATAAAAATATGGCAGTTGAATAAGCATATGATATCACTGATCAAAGTCCCTGGCATGAGAAAAAAATTATTAAAATTATTTTTTTTCTAAGTAACCGGACTTCATTCTATTATATTAGATATTAGATAGATGGTGCTGACTGAATAAACAGTGTTCATTTTCAACAGCTACAAGTGTATCTATGTAAGACTAGCCTTGCCCAAGTCTGTATTTTTTATGTTATCTGATCTTGATTTATAAATAAGTAAAAGAGACCGAGTTGGGCAAGGCAATGTAAGACAAGCCCTGTTCATATTTCAATGATTTTGATGAATTGCCAGCAGCTATTTCAAAGAAATATAGATTATTTGTTTCAAACTGTGAACATTTATTTTTATTAATCAATAAAAACATAATTTACCCATTGATCTTTAATGTATCCTCATAGCTACAGATGCTGCTTTCGATCGACAGAATTCAGAGGCATTAATCATATTCATATCGTTATGTTGACTTTGAGTATTCCATGTCGATACTTGAACAGTTTTGATTTTATAATCTTGACCCGCATCTTTGGTTCAAACCTCAAGAAAATGAATCTTCCAAAATCTGATCTAGTTCAATTTTGTCTCAAGTATTTTTTTTTTGGTCAAATAGCATTTGAAAATGTTTTTTGAAATGGACATCATTCATAAGATCGCTCTTTCTGATTGAATTTAGTGTTTAAATCAATTGATGTCTCATCATGACTGTACTGGACAAAAATAGATGATTCAGAATTCCTGAATTAGCAATATGCCGGGCTCAATATGTCTTTTGCAATCCAAAAATTGAGGGAGCTGTGAAATATGCTGGTATTTTGATGAGATGGTACTATATTAACCAATCAAATAACACAGACTCTAGCATTGATATAATATTTATTTACATTAGTTCATATAATTAGCAAATCTAACATCTTTATCCAATTGTCTAGTGTAGCTTATTAAAGTAAGTAGGTGTATAGATATTTACCTTGAGCCAGTTATGTGAACGTTTGGCAATCTCATATGTGGCATCAACATCAAGTGACTTCACCATTAGACCTTCACAGTCTCCTACAATTGTATAGAGTAAAACTTGCATTTACACAACAAGGCATTAAACATGCAAAATGTCACTACCTGCCATTTGTTACAAACGCTGAATGCGGACGACCAACCACCAAACACCGACCACTGAACACCATCCACAAAAAGTTGGAGACTATTAACAATATGTCTGTGTTTAGTTGCTCTGATTTTCTGTGCCAATCCCGCTGATCGAGGGGGCAATTCTCATACAATCTTAAAATTCTGGAAAGTTTACTCTTGTAAAAAAGTTGACATACTTTTAAATTAATCAAGATTAAATACTGAGTTGGCTAATAAAGCACAATTCCCCTGTCTGATAAAGTTGATACAGGGATCGATCTAAAAACCTGTGGCAAATTTATTACCTTTTATAGATTCATCTAAAAATTCAGCTATTTTCTCTGTATCGGATGACACCATAGATGTAGCAAAGACAAATTCTCCCTCGACCTCCTTCAAGGATTCCCTGAGCTTCTCACGACGTACTCTGAATGGTTCACGAACCAGAGATTCCCCATTCAGGTAGAGGAGATCAAACGCATAGACACACACCTGAACTTTGATCTCATTTACATCTGCGTCCTTAAAAATAAAAGGAAATTAGATGGTAATCTTGTACAAAAAAAGAAACACAGAAAAGTAACAGAAATGTATTGAACGTGTTGGATTTACAACTTTTTAAAAAATCTTTAAGTATTCAAAATATTTAATGAAATAAAATGATTCGTAAGTATTTCAATAATTATTTTCATTACACAGATAAACCAATTTAAATGAACACGATTTATACATTTTTTATAACCCATTTGTAAATTAAACTCATAAATATGCCCTTCTGTTTAACAATTGTATAAGGAAACACTCAAAATTAACATCAAAATCAATTTCCTTACTTTACGTTTCCTGGTACTGAGAACTTGGAAAGGTAATATTCGTTTATTTTCTTCATCCCATGCAACTGCTTCAGAATCCAATACACATGATGTTACCCCCTCTTTGATGATGCTGGGAAGACGTTTGATAATATCTGGGTACTTTGATGTATTATCCTCAGAGTTTCGACTGTAGACATGAATCTGACCATTCTCTAATAAGTGAATCTGAAATATATGGGATTAGGTTATGGTTTTACAGTACACTACATAGTTTCATCTGGAATATTGAGAAAGGACAAAGCCAGAGCCAAAATGATTAAAATCCAGATGTTTGTTTTCAATGCGTGAGTTATTTTGAAATTTACATTTTGTTTCAAAGGGAGAGGACAATTGAAATCTAAGAGTTACTAAAAGAGGAGCTTTTATTCTAAGTAAATTTTTACCTGGGCACGTTCCCCATCATATTTATATTCACAGGTGAACTCATTGCCTTCAAACCTGTGTAGAACTTCACTAACACCTTTAGTGGGGTGGGCCAACATGGGCTTAAGGGGAATACCTGTAACAGATAAAGTGCCAACAATTATTTTACAGAGATAAGAGGAGAAAAAATACATGAATAATCTCAGTTGTGCTACTTCTAAAATCATATCAAATTACTTGACTACAGCCATTCAGCAACAAGACTAGTATTGTAATCCAAGATGATCTTCCTCACCAATGATCTTAAACTTGGTTCCTAAAGGTTGAACATAGATGGCCTTACAGATGGAGGGCATAATATATAAAGTCCTCAAGATTTGTACATTAACAGCTTCTGAAATTCTGTGTTAAGCACATTCATATCATAAGACCCTGTTTACTGGCTAGCCATGTTACTTCATGGAGGGAGGGGGGTTGATTTAAAATACAAACCAAACAGATTTCTTGCATACCTGGTGTGAGTTTACATTTGTTTGGCAGTTCTTCAAGACCATCCTTCAATAGCACAGGGATGATAGCATCATAGTTGGGACACTCACTGGAATTATAAAACAAGATTTAAAACAATGGTAAACAGTGACGTGCACAGACCAGTGACAGATGAAGCAATGCCAAATTTTAAAGAAGCATTCCCCCAAATAGCTTTTGAAATGAAGTGAAATAATGTTCAAAAGTATCATGCCCCACCTGTATGTAGTTTTAATGATCAGTTCAGCTTCTTCCAATTTTTTCTTAAGGGCATCAGAAGACAGTCCTTTTCCAGCATCTGGAATATCTGTAAGAACAAAAAAACATGATTATGTCAAACAAGAAGCTGTTAATTTGGATGTTCACTATCAACATTTTCTGAAAATATGACCCCAAAGTATTGTCCTTTGGTTGACATTCTCTTGACCTTGAAAAGCAGCATTATGCTCTCGGTCAAAATCAGCACCATAACACTAGATGAGGTCAATATGACCTCTTATTATACACCATGTCTAGATACTGAAATCTGATTGGTTCTAAGCTGCTGGTAATTTGGCCATATCTAACTTTTTTAAAAACTGCCCAATATTTTTTTTGCAACTGGCCAATATTTTTTCAATGTTTTTGCAACATTCCCCACTTAAGAGTTTTAACTCGAGCTTTACTAAAAATAGAAGAAAAAGTGCACTTTAGGGAGCACGTCAAAAGTTCAATGTAGCACAAAAAGGTATATATTATCAGTTAAGTCCAAGACACCCCCCTCCCACTGTCAACTATATGCACAATTTTTAACATAAAATATATCATCATTTACCTTGTTGACAAGTTTTTCATATTCATTAGATGGGGTTTTATATATTGGCTTGGCTATAATAGTGAAAAAGTTCAAAATTTGAAAAAAAAAATTTTCAATATGGAGGCGTGCAAGGAGGATTATTGGATGAAAAATTGCTGAGCAATTCCCCGGGGATCAATGTTGGGGAAGCTTATTTTTTTGGTTTCAAACACCCCCCCCCCCCCACTTACTGATAATATATAGCTTATTTGGCAACATTGATCTTTTGATGTGCTCACTTAATCAATCACAATTACCATTATATCATTCAAACATTACACATAATTCTGCAAGAATGCCTTCAAATAATTGTAAATTAAATCCCGGGACAAGGCAATGCTTTTCCGTTTGGTGTAAAGCTAGATGGAAGTGTTTCGAATCTCTAGGTGATTAAATATTGCTATTAATGGAATATTCCTAGTTTTTACCTCTGTTCACTTGATTGATGAAATGATATTCAACCAACCCTTAAAACATGATTAATAATATATCACTGAATATCCCAGGACCATGTATGTACACATGATCTACCTTACAGACAGAATTTCCCACAATCAGAATTAAGGCCATAATTATTATTTATTGTCAACACAAGGTCATACAGTAACTCAAGAATATTATAATAGAAATATAAGACAATACAAGCATGTGATTATAGCATAGCTCACACCATGTTATCTAAAAAAGGCATGTTCAAGTGTGTCAACTATATAGTTGATTAACTTATCATACTATCACCAATACAATCAATCTTAATAAACATGACACAAAATAACATTGCATTGTGGGTTTAACCAAGGTTGGGGTCAAGTTTACAGAGACAATTTGACACTACATTGTACTGTGAATCTGGTTTGGTGAATAAGTCAATCCACCCTAACCCAAAGTTTATTTTTGATATCTATATTAAGAATTATAATTCATGTAATACAACAATTAAAATGGTGAAAATATGATATTTAAACAAAACTAGAGAATAGCAATGCCAAAGAAATCTCATCCAACAGCCATGGCTGCCATTTATATAAAATCCTTCTACTACTTTTTCAATTATGGCAAAAATTGTAAAATAAAACACATAAAAATGTGAATTTTTTTTTGATTTTTTGAAAAATGGCTACCTACTACAGAAGGGGCATTAAACAGTGTGGCATGCTTAAAGTATTCACATATCAAATATGAACAAAATCCCTCCACTTCTTTTTCAGTTATAGTAAAAAAAGTAAAATAACACACACAAAAAATGGCGGCCATTTTTTAAAGTGGCCGCCTACTACCCAAAGTGTCATTAGACAGTGTGCCAAGCTTATAGTAATCACATATCAAATATGAACACAATCGCTCCACAACTTTTAAAGTTACAGCAAAAATCGTAAAATAGCATGTAAAGGCCGCCATTTTTCAAGATGGCTGCCATGTGTTTCTTAAATATCTACATTTCTAGCTTGATCAACTTTTTTTACATTTAAAACATAATGCTATTACAGTTTTATACATTGTTCCTAAATTACTGTAAAATTTTTTAACAAGTGGCCAATTCGAATATTGGCTTTTGAGCAGAACTTCAACCCCAATAGGACACACATGAACAAAATCAGGCCAATGGTATTTGAGTATCACCCAGACAGACATATATACAGATGGATATATGGATGGATAGACGGACGAAGGCTTCCCTATATTCCATCGAACAAATAAAGTGCTGACTTCTCCAAAACAAGACAAAGGTAGGAGTTTGTGAATTACAAGTATGGGCAATGTAAAATTAATGTGACCATAATTTCAAAGGATAGGACGCTTTCTTTTATCAAAAAATGTTGAGCGACCGAAAGAGGAATATATGTATGGGAGAATCTAGATACATAAAATTATCTGCAAATATTTACAATTCCAGATCTGCATTTGTTGTAAACTTGTAACAAGTGATTTGATTGGTTTAACTCTTAGCAGTCTGCCGCCGAGATGTCTCGCAAAATCAGATACTGGGATTTAGTTTAGACTGCTAAGACTTAATAAAGAAATTTTCACTGTTGGTGATCAGTAGTGACCAATCAAATCATTTCTTACAAGTTTAGCCATACAAATGCAAATTCATGGTTGTTTTTTTATATGCTGAATTATATGCAGTTCTAAGATAAGATTTTGAAAAAATCAATGATATCAGTTTGAAAAACACGTTGAAGATTTTGGAGAGACTTGGGAATACAATTTGATACCAGTAAGGGGATCTTGTGCCAAGACTGCAAGTTTTTGAAAATATTCCAACTGAAGTTATCACAGTGAGTTTCTATATTGAGATTACTACTACTTTTCCTATTTGGCCTATGCATATTATATATGGTTTATAAAAGTCTTAAGTAGGGTTTCTCAATAACGACCATGCCTTTCTAATGTTGTTTGCTTTCTAGACATTTTCTAATGACATTAGTGAACTTGAAGATCAACTATACAGATAAATTAATAAAATGACTAGGTCAATAATCACTAATAAGCTCCGTTATGTCTGTTTAGAGACAGGAAATCATTGCAACTGTACTGGTCTGGTTAAAACATATGACATATTACAGATGTGGAACCTAATTAGACCCCTCCCCCCATAAGACAAAATTAGTGATCAAAGGGTCAAGGATTTGCAAAAATGTGTAAGATACAAGTAGATGAAACAATTCGTTTGAGAATAAAAATATACATTTTATTACACTTTATCCACCAGAGAAACATCTTATATCCATTTCATTTGTTGTTACAAACACTATTATCCATTGTATCATTTAGAGCTCTCTGGGTATTTCTTTGAAGTATTTAATACTTTTTTCTTTCAAATATCATCAAGATATATCTTCAACATCCATCAAATGTTAGAAGTTGTACATTACTATACCCAATAGTGTATTGAGGCATGGTTATCATAGCTGTTTGCAGGGTACATGGCTAATTTTGGAAAAAATGTGGCTTTCAGATTCTATGCTAAAGGTAAAATGGGTACCTTTTATAGAGATATGTAGCACGTTGTAAAAAACTTTAAGCTTAATCAAAGTTGATTCAATAAGTCCAGAATTGACCAAGCTTTCATATGATATATAACAAATGGGGGTATGCTATTCAGGATTGGTGGTTGATGGGGGGACGGTCATTATGAAACACCCTGTATATGTTGTTGGCAACACATTTCAAGTTTCTATTTGTATTTTATTGTATAAATTTTTCCCATGTCAGTACCACACAGAAGATGGCCATCCTTCTTTACTGCAACTGACACTGGCCCATCTTCACTTTGTAGTAAATACATAACAAAGTTACCATTTGGGTCAACCAAATGGACTCTCTTGTTGCCATAATCAGCAATTACAATGTTGTCCTGTTGATCTATGCATATACCCTTAGGGCGATCCAGTTGGCCTTTCCCATTGCCATGTGAGCCGTAAGTGAGAACCACTTTCTGGGATACCATGTTGAAGCCCTGAATCATGTGTTTAGACCGATCACAAACTAATACAATATCTTTACTATTGACTGTTACACTTGAAGGATTATCAAACTTTGCTTTCACAAAACAATGGGTCCTTTCAGTGCAGTTGTCTATACGCATTATTTTTTCATTATCTACAACAGCTATGTTGTCATTTGGAAATACGCCAAGACATTTAACTTGTTCTCCAAACTCCACTTGAAACTTAGTTTTTGTATCATAAGAATGGAGTATACCATCTGTATCTGTATACATTAGCCAATCACCACCTAGAGCAATAACATCTCTGTATCCAGGTGCTCCAGCAATGGTAGACTTCATTTCAGAAAGTGATGAACTGTATATGAGGATTTTATTGCAATGGGTAACAATAGCAACATCTCCATTAGGCCGAACAGCCATTGCGGAAATATTATATTCACCCTTTCCAGGATTTTTTCTTGGAACAATAAAAGTATTAGTTATATGTGGCTCATCATACAGATTGGATGTTGTTTTATGAATGCTATTGGAGTGACCTGATTCATCTATGTTTGGAAGTGTGTCAACAGGAACATTCTTTTTGGTTTCTGTCTCATTTTCATGCGTTTCAGAGCTGACTAGATTCCCAACAGCTATCCATGTGTCGCCAAAAGATCCCTGCTTGAAGGTAAAGCTACATCTTGGAACCTAAAAAAGTTATTATAAACAATTATTAAATGCTCAAAGGATCAATGCATTGAACTGAAGTTATAACAAAATTTCACATTTTCTAATATAACATAATGCGTACCTTAGTCACTGTCATGACTGTGAAATAAAACTGTAAATTGACAAACCTACATGTAGAGCTTGAACAAACAACTTACCTGCTTGTCCTCAAGTCTGTTTGTACCTTCTTTCACTAAGATTTGATGCTTTTGATTTAGTTCAGTTCTCATTTTTAGAATCTCTACTGCGTGACCATGTGACAATAAACTGTGCAAAAACATTTTTGATTGTTCCATTTCTTGGCCTTTTGCATCAAGCTCTTTGAATGTTGCATGTAACCTCTGTACTTCTGTCTCAATAATGTCAAGTTGCTTATCATAGTGATTGTTAATGTACTCATGAAGTCGTGTTCGATCTTGATTTATTTTCTGTTTCACCTCATCAGTTTCCATTAGTTTCACTTCCTGAATTTGTTTGAGATGTCTCTTGTTAGAGATGTATTTGGCATCAGCAATGTCCAGGAGTCGTTGCAGCTGCTCTCTATCAGTTGAAACTTCGTCATAAATATCAGAACATGAATGTCTGGAATGTCCAGTCACATAGCATGTTGAACATATAACACAGCTATCATCCCTGCAATAATACTTCAGGGCTTCTCTAGGATGTTTCTTACAATATATGCTCCTTTCCGTAATTATCTTCATTACATTAGATAAGTCAACAGATACATCTCCCGTCAGTGTGAGAACTGTGTGCTCTTTTGATGATTTAAGCCGTGAATGCACGCTGGAACAGCTGTTGCAAAGTTTGTTTGTACAATCCAGACATTTTATATTGGCACGCACTTTCTCCCCACCTTCATGACAAACATCGCAAAATTCACCATCTTCTGATGTACTTTGAAGTACATCGAGTAACGTATTCAATAAAAAGTTTGGTTTGATCGCTTTTAAACCACCAATTGGTACAACCATCTGTTCATTACATATTGGGCAGGTCAGCTTCTTGCCAATCTGATTCTGTGTTGCCCAAGTGTCTATACAACCAAGACAGAAAGTATGCAGACAAGGCAACACTTTTGGATCTGTAAACTGTTCCAGGCATATCGAACATGTCAAAATGTCCTTGAATTTCTCCTCTTGTGTAGTTGATGCAGACGCCATTATTCTTATGAGCAAACTCCTGTTTGAATAAAATTGATCCTGTCTAATTGTCTAATATTAGTTTATGTACACTGAACAGCTGAACAGCCATGTCTTATCAAGTATTTCTATTCATTTTTTTCATATCGATTGCCTTTACCTTTATTTACAATGGGCTGATAAAACCTTTTCAGTTGCTTTAAAAAAGGATGCTATGACAGCTTTATTCAAGGACATTACTTTGACTGACTCTTACAGCAATACGCAGTAATCTTTCTGTTTTTACTGATAAAAAATAGTACCGTGGGTAGTGAGCTCACATGGTGCTGCTCAAAAGTGAATGATGACTACAACTTTTACGTACGTATAGTTTAAAGGGTCATGTCGAACTATTATATTTACTAAAATCAATTTTACTTAATGGAACATAACTATTCCCGTTATAGAAAAGCTCCATCAACTAGAGACTGTGAATGCACTGTCATCTGCACGTGTAGATTATGCACATTATAATTAAATGTTTGCTTCCGTGTCCTTGTAGTTGTAGTGTATTATAAACACGATCCTTTAAAGGGAGTCATGATTCTTTAAAGTGAGTCATTACATAAACAAGTTGATTATTTCAATGTTTTCATGATCAGTATAAGTTCAATGAACTTACAAAACGGTATATTTACGTAGGTGATAACGTATACAGTTCGATCTCCGTATAAAGATTTGCCTACATGTGTGTGGAACAATTGACCGCAAGCATTTTTTAAAATGAATTGGCTGAGTGGGAACAGTATCCAATCAAATACTTTAACCATCAATTTGAAACACCAATCAAACCAGTAGGTTCTAGCAATTCCTGGAAACGACCCATTCAGTAGCTCAACTTATGACATACAGGGTGTTTCATAACGAGCATCTCCAAAAAGTCAATTTGAGAAGAGATGGCTCTATAACATATGTACTATATATGAGCCTATTTTATTCTAGACAAACACATTTGGCAACTAAAAATGCTACAATTCAAGAAAGTACAAATGGCATCCCTTTGACCTGTATTTATTACAGTCCGAGAAGATCTTTCCTGACGAAAAGCCCACATTATGAAACACCTTGTACGTTTACCTATAAGTATAAGTATACGTTATAAGTTGTACTTTCACTAGGTGCGAAATCTCTCTAATGTTGAACAAAAATAACTTAAAACGGAAATCCTATTGACAGAGGTTTTAAAACAGGCCAAGTGTTGACGGACGGACAGACAGACAGATGGATGGATGGACAGACAGACGGACAAGTGAGTGATTGCAATAGCTCACCATGTGAGCTAAAAATTACAATGGTCACTGGACAACAATATTTTAACTTATAACTTATAAAATATAAGCAAGACCTTTTGTTCATGATTTATTATCAAAAGCATACTGAATATCACCCTCTAAAGACTGCTTATCACATTATAATAATATACAAGTGTCAAGTGTCAACACAAATGACACAATATGATCCTTGTATATGCATGCTTTTATCATCGATTCAACTCCAGGTGTGCCATTGTTCTGAATTTAGTAATGGTAATATATTATTCTCACATTTTATATGAATATGGAGTGAAGGATAAACTAGACAACAGCAACGCCAAAGCATAGCAAATCCCATCGAACAGCCATGGCTGGCATTTTTACATACAAAATATAGCAAAAATGGCAGCCATTTTTCAAAATGGCCACCTTCTACTAAAAGTGTCATAAGACAGTGTTGCATGCTTATAGTATTCACATACCAAAGATGAAAAAAATCGCTCCACTACTTTTCGAGTTATAGCAAAATATGTTAAATACGATCCCCATAGGGTATTTGTGTGTAAAACATGAACAAAAAAATCAGGCAAACGATATGTGAGTTATAGTTATAAAATCAAGAATAAAAATAAAATTCAAGAACTGGATAAAGACCACAGCTGTAAATAAGTGAGGATCAAGGTGTAATAGTTTTAGTTTTTATGGTTCCTTTATTTAAACAGTATTAGTATACAGCATTATACAGCAAAGCATTATTGGCCCTGTGGGTTACAGCATTTGAATTTACATAAAAGATGGCTCCCCTGTTTGGAGAAATGAACTGATTGTTTTTGACTCATCATAAATACGAGGGGTGATCAATAAGTAATGGACGCTTTTTTACACAGATGCTTTTTATAGACCAATCCCTTCGATTTTCTTACCAGTGATACATCATTCAATTATCTATCAACTCTGAAGATTTGAAAACAAAACATGTAATATCTTTTGATATATCTTTATTTCTGTGAAGGATGTATGGGTACCCCGGGACCGACATTTACGTCAAACATTCTGAAGCTATTTTAGCTTGTTTAACATGCAACGCAGTTGAATGCAGGCTGAACAAAACAAACCATTATAGTCATGAATTACCCCATTTTGTTATGCCATAGTTGATTTTGAATATTTTATCATCACTATGTGGTATTCATGCCACATTCATTCCACAGAGCCCTCTACATAGATTCCATCAAGTGCTACATGTACACAATTCCTCATCCTCTTAATTCAAGATTGTGAGACAAGGCTGAATCCATTCTCTGACATGGTAGCAAGATGCAGTTGCACGGGTTGTTTTATTTCATCAATATCAATAAACATGCATCCTTTCCCTATAGAAATAAATAGTATAGAAATAAATAAGTCACATGTGAGCAGATCTGGACAATATGGTGCATTGGCCAAGGGCTCAATTTTGAGGTCCAGGGATATTGTTTTCTGAACATTTTGAGATCTGTGGGCAGGTGCAATGTCCATATGGAGTAGGATGTTCCCTTCTCTCACCACCCCTTTCTTCCACAATGCTTTCTCAAATTGACTGCATATTCTCAATGAAATATCACCAAACAGGAGAGTATTTGTCTTATGTTCTAAAGAGCATCTTGGTGAAAAAAGAAATCAAGTTCAGGCATTATCCTAAGTTCCCCCCAAAGTTCTTCTCTTTCTCTTAATAATAGCGGGCAGTTGAAGATGAGATGCTTAGTAGTTTGGTCTCTGTAGCCACATAAACAATTTGGACTGTCAACATTTCTAAAATTGTGCAGGAAAAAGTGGCCTGTAAAAATAAAATCACATCTAATGCGATTAAGAAGGATTTCACTCTTTCGTGATAATTCTAGCTTAGATGTAGGTTATGGTAAATCTTTGTCTCGGAAATGTTTTTTAACATTCCTTTTAAAACTAGAAATTTTTTTATTTTCTTTTAGATAATATGGGAGCTTTTCCCATTCGCGCATTGCTTTTATTATTGGCGATTTAGAAAAGGAGCCAGATCATTTTGGAATATTAAATTCTCTGACATTTCTTAGGTTAATATCTTGAACAGGATTTCTATGTTGGTCAAAAATTCGTTGGAGATAAGAAGGGACTGTTTTATTTTTTACTTTGTGCATAAGATTTAAGTATTTTTCATTTCTTCTGGTCAAAAGATCATTCCAGTTTAGGGATTTAAAGGAATATTCCTTGCCAAACCATCTCTCTCCTCATATGGTAGCTATAACCATATATATGCTTGCCATGTTTAGCAAAACGTGCAAAAATGTTTTGATATGGTCAAATTTGATCACTTAGAAATGTGATGCTCAATTCCAGTAAGCTGCCATCTTTTAAAATTTCACATAGGAAGTGATGTCATCGACTCTCAACTTTGCATTTAGCATTAGGTGAGGAGCTATTAAGAATTACAAAACCAGCTAAATATTCTTTTTCAACTTTGTATCTTATTTAATCCTTCTGAAAATCTCTTCTTTTATTCTAAGTTGACAAGCCCTGAAAATATTTTTGCACAGAAAGTAATGATCACTTGTCTAGAAGTGATTTTGTGCTACTTTCCTATACTGTTATGGGCAAGGTTATAGAAGTTGAGAGTTGATGACATCACTTCCTGCAAGAAATCTTAAAAGATGGCAGCTCACTGGAAATAAGCACTAGATTTTTAAATGATCAATATTGACCATATTGAAACATTTTCCCATGTTTTGCTAAATATGGAAACTATATATATGATTATAGCTACCATATCAAGAGAGAAAGGGTCTGGCAAGGAATATTCCTTTAAATAGTTTAATTTTTGAAGTTCCCTGAATGCATCCACTTACTAGTAATGCAGCTCTGTAATGTACTTGGTCAAGTTTTGCAAGATCATATTTGGTGGCTTTTTCGAATAAAATACTTCCATATTCCAAGGTGTAATAAACCCTAGACTTTATGATTGAGACATTTATAGATATCTATATATCATGGTGACCTGCTGTTTTAGGGATGCTTGGACATTTTACCTAATCTTGGTATCATTTAAGATGATATTGGAACAAAGTAATAATAAAAAAATGCATTAAGCTTGAATACAAGTAGCTTCAAAGTTCATGTATATATCTTTTGTAAGAAGAGAAGTGATTTGAGACCCCTACAAATATTAGTGATTTGAATTTTGTAAGTGGTTATAAGTATACATTGACAGAATAATAATGTTATTTTGACAACCAGTTTTGTTGAAAAATCATGTATTGTATGGCAAATGATTTTTAGACAGTCATGTCAACACAACATTTTTCATAAAATATATTGTTTTCTCAAAGTAGACTCCCATGGGTAATTTTCTTTTTCAAGTATGAGACAATGTGCCATCATTATCAACAATACAATCTGAGAAAAAAACATAAACAGCTATGTTGCCATATCATATTTATCTTATTTCTAAATTCTAAAATCCTTCACCAAAACAATTACACTGGCCATTTATTTTTGCAATGACATTGTCTATTCATTATAATTCAAAGAGTATATTTTACCAACATCTGTGCCACAAAGTAAATGTCCGTCCTTGTTTATGGCCACAGATAGAGGACTCTCTGGACATTTTAGGATGTATTTCTTGAACTGACCTCTTGGATCTAAGAGATGGACCCTCTTATTTCCTGTATCAGCAATGATGATATTGTTATCTGTGTCTGTGCATATGTCATTTGGACTAGACAGTTCACCAGTACCATTTCCTTCTTTTCCATATGACATAACAGGTTGCCCTGACATCATGTGGAACCCTTTGATGTTATGGGAACCCTTATCAACCACAATCACAATGTCTTCACTGTTGACTGTAAGACTGACAGGATCCTTCATGGAAGTGATTTTAAAATAGCGAATTGGCTTCCCGTTGTAGTGATGAATGCGCTGGACTCTTTCTTTATTCAACACAGCAATGTTACCATCTTTGAACACAGCCAGATTACGAATGTCTGGAACAAGTGCATCAGCATTACTGTATGGATGAATACTTTGCTTGAGATCAATTTGCTTATGGAATATATCTAGTCTTCCAAAGATATTAACGCATGATTTAGAGTCCAGAAATCCAAGGCAGTTGCCAACTAATGGAATTACAGAGCGATAGCCTGACCTACTGTAATCCATTAATGTTACCTTAAATGTCATGGCTTTATCACATAAATCAACTTCATCAACATCACTGAGCACATACGCTACGTCTCCATTTGTCTTGACTGCAATTGAACGGACACCATACGTTTTGTTTCTATTTTTCTTTTGTGGAACAGTGTAACATGCGACTGTTGTTCTTTTATTTGAACGTTTTTTGCTTTTTTTACCTCCTTGCCAATCATCTTTCTCATCCAACTGATCTATCGCAAGACACCCTTCATCTGTAGCATCAAGATGCTTTTCCATCTCTGTTTTCTTAGGACAAGCAATTGAAGCTGTTTGTTCCTTCACCTCTGCCTGTAGTTGAACTTCCTTTGAATGGCATCTTTCATATTTTGGCTGTCTATCATCTACATGTATAGAGTACAGTACTTCCACTTCTTTCTGTGCAGTTTCTTGTGTACTTTCAAAACAATCAACGAACTCATCATCACTACTACTTTCATCTTCATTAGTGTCATCAAAACTGGTCGGAACAAGAGCACGTGCATAGGATTTTTTATGCTTACTTCTTACCGTTGACGATTCTCTTACAGACTGGATCTTGCCTGCACTGTTCTTATTGGCATTCATGTCCTTAGGTTTTGGGAGAAACTTGCCCAAAGTTATCGTCTCACCTGCGGACTGGGACTCTTCTGTGGTCAACCCAGGAAGAAAGTCACAATTGAATCCTGTGACCTGAAAAATTGAAATATGGTTAGGTTATATATATCTTTTATTGACTCTTTAGATGTCATATCATGACATATTAGTCACTTAGGTAGAGCAGTTCTTCCCATTGTCGAGTTGAAGAACTGGTATCTTTATCCTGGCTAGAACCATAGACAATTCTAGCCAGTGCCAGCCTTTTATCGAGTTAGCAGCACTCTAGTAATCGCCGGTATAGGTCAGCAGTCATAGGTCAAAGACAAATCACAAGAAGTGCTGTGACCTGGGTTTGAACCCAAGACCTCTACTTTTCAGCTTGAAGCCAGACTTCCTGCTTTTCAGACCAATGCCTTAACCACTAGGCCAACCCGGCGACCACTTATATATAGTAGCCGATTGTGATATGAAGTAAGCTAGTTAGGACCAAAACATTCCTGTGTCAAGATGATCAGTTTCAAAAACAAGCTGTTTTTGACATGAGATCAATTTGACATGAGGCAGATGTAAACCATGGTTGAGATGAAATACAGACCAGGTGTTAACAGGGATTTAACAAACTGAGTCTTGGGTTTAGGATTAAGATAGGGGTAGGATTACTAATGTTAAGAAAAATTGGAGCTGACATAATAAGAAATTAATCCAAAATATAGTAAGAATTATTAAAATGCCCTTTGATTATATATGTATCTGCTATCTATGTACCTCTATTGATACATTAAAAAGTAAAAGAAATATAACTCACTTGAACATCATCTCCAGTGATGGTTTGTTTTGACCAGTCTTCATACTTCTTGTTCAATTCTTTTCTCATGTTGACAATTTCAATGGCATGTCCATGGTCCCTTAGACTACATAAGTATTGTGTGAAATTCTCAATCTCAAGCATTTGCTTAGAAAAGAGGCCTGTGTTTTCAGCAAAATGAGAATCCAATGCTTTAACTTGATTATCGTAATAGTCTTGGACATGTTCAAGTACCCGGAATCTATCCCGGTTAATCTTTAACTTCAGATTCTCACGTTGCTTCTTCTGGGAACTTTTCAAGTGATTTGTCATGGCATGCTGTTTGGATCTAGCGATGTCCAAAAGTTTTTCAATTTGTTTTTTATCCCTCAAGACCTCATCATTTATATCCGAACATGAATGTTTGGAATGTTGCGTAAAATAACAAGTGGAGCATATGGCACAAGCATCTTCAGTACAGTAGCATGTGAGTACTTGTTGGGGGTGTTTCTCACAATATATACTACGTTCAGTCAGATGCTTCATTTCATTTGATATGTCCACTGCTACATCACCAGTCAGTTTGATTATTTTGTGGTCTTTTGATGATTTTAACTTTGAATGAACTTTAAAACAGTTGGTACATAGTTTTTCAGTACATTCCAGACATTTAAATTCAGCTTTTAATGTTCTTTCATCTTGAAAACAAATGTCGCAATTGTCCACCTGGTGATTCTGGTAAGATGTACTGCTTAATACATCTTGTATTGTATTAAGCAGGAAGTTTGGTTTCATCGCTTTTAAGCCTCCATCTGGTACAACCATCTGTTCCTTACATATTGGGCAGGGCAGCTTCTTGCCAGTCTGGTTTTGTGTTGCCCAAGTGTCTATACAACCAAGACAGAAAGTATGCAGACAAGGCAACACTTTTGGATCTGTAAACTGTTCCAGGCATATCGAGCATGTCAAAATGTCCTTGAATTTCTCTTCTTGTGTACTTGTTGCAGACGCCATTTTTCTTTTTAGAGAACTCCTCTTTGAATAAAATCAACACAGTCTAGCTGTCTATGTATTTGGTTACTGATTCATGTATAGCTAATGTGCACATTGCTCTTGACACTATGTAACAGCCATGTCTTATCAATTATTTTTTAAAAAGCATTATTTGATCAATCAAAAGGCTCTACCTTTATTTACAATGGCCTTGTAAAACTTTATTGATTGCTAAGAAACAATGTTTTATTACATTCATTATCTTAACATTCGTTAAATATTTATTTCTCTGAATTTATAAAATAGGCAATGACTTGACAGCTTTATTTAAGGAAATTTAATTATGTTGACAACCCTATGCAGCAATTTCGGTGTTTTCACTAATAGAAAACTATGGTCACTGGACAACAATATTTTAAATTATATGCAAGAGCTGAGTTCTATTCTACCTTTGTTATAGGTTTTTTATCAAAAGAATATATCATACTCTAAAGTGAGCTTATCAATAAGTGCATGCTTAAATGTTTGATTGTACTAAAGGTGTGCCATTGTTCTATATTTAGTAATGGTAATATATTATGAACTCTTACATTTTATATGAATATGGGATGAAGGATAAATAACTCCATCAACAACTTCATATTTTTCTGTGCAAATCAGAAAAGACAAATAATAGGAATCTTACATATACATTGATCATTACATTTATACATAAACAAGAAGTTTGGTTTTTATGATATATCTTACAAGGGCAATTGTTACAATGTCAGAACAATCAATAGTTGGTGTATGTCAAGTGGCTTTAAGCTAGAGGCTTTGTCATAAAGTACATTTACATGTTTATCAATCATATAGATGTCACTACTGAACTATGGATCAAACAGAGCAAGTCAAAATGTGTGTCTTACCTTTACCAGGAGGCGTCAAGACAATTGCATGCGACAATGCTGTCAAGACTGATTGCTCAGCCAGCCCTATCCGTAGCTTGCCACCTAGTGAGCGAATCAAGTAACGAGCCTCAGAATGACGACAAGCAACAAACATGCCTTTGATTTTGTCAATCTTCTTAGACATCACCTGAAGACGAAATCAAACTCACATTTATATCAAATTGAATATTTCAAGATTTAAAGTCTTATATGCAATCTATAGACCAATCCAGTAAATCCTGCAATCTATTGGTTATGATGTCTTTCTTACAGTTTCAGAGCAGAAATAGGATTAACTTAATTGTTTTCAAACATTGCTGCCTGTAAAGTATGATATCATAAATTTAGCCAATAAACCCTATTTTTTATAACTGTTTTTGTTAACATTTTTTGATTTTTAGTGCAATTATCTTTTGTTCCTTTCTGCCATATTCTTGAGAATGAAATAAAATATCTTTCCAAACCTTGTTGGACAAATTAAAATAGCATAAACATGTACAACATTTTCTAGGACCTCTCAATATAGTAGTTATACAAAGGAAAGATTGGTTCATTTAACAAAAAGTATTCAAAAAATTTAAAAAAACAAAAATAGAGAAACATGTGTTCAATTCAGTTCGCCATACCGATACCAATCCTTTAAAGTACTTACTGAATTGCCAGACATGGTAGCTATTTCCTTAAGTTTGGTAAAGACAGTTGTGATGGTCAGTTTTGGAGGAGCAAACATGGTCCTCTGGGTACTGCGACTTGACTGCAACATAAATGGATGTATATTCAATTCATAATATTTTGTTCCCTTTTTATCTTTTTTCTTAATGGGAGAAGATCAGTAGATGGACAGAAATAAATTGAGAATTTAAGTTTTTGAAATACTGCTCACTTTATAACAAGCAATTAATATGCAAAATTTCACCACATACCATTTGTTACAGACACCGAATGCCAACTGTTGAATGCAAAACACTAATCACAGAACACGGACCACAAAAAAGTTGGGAGACTATAGCAATGTTGTGGTGACATAATAAAAATCCAAGTTACCTGGCAACAAATTGAAAAGGGACATCTCTTCTATTACTTTCCCTTAGACTTATATTCCATAAATCAATGAACATCAGGCCATTACATGACTAGGTTAATATTTTCATGTTGTCCAAATAATTAAGCACTGATAAAGCTAGTATTGCATCAATTCTCTGTCCACCTCACTAAATCAAACTTGAGTTTGAAGAGATACTAGAGGATAACACAAGGCTTGATGCAATGCTAATTTAGTTGAAGCCTACCTCAGCTACTATTCCAAGATCACCCTTTTCCTGTGCATCAGCCTTGATCTTGTCCATGGGGCGCCCTGAAGAACAAATATTTCATATACAGGGTGTCCCGAAAGTATGGGGCCCCCCCTAGGCAGACATATTCCAGTGTCCTCATAGTATGTATCATATATCATTTTAAAGCTTATCCAAAGTTACATTGATTTGCCAAGTATCATATTTTAACTCCCAACTGGGAAAAAGTTACAGTCATTTTAAAAGTTAGTGTTTTGTCAAAATAAAGTTCAATTTTACTCCATATTACTAGTCAATGAGTCCCCCCTTGGCCATGTTAACAGCAGCAATTATTTTCAGATATGACCTTAAAAGCCCTTCAAATAGGGGTGTAGAATTTTATAACCCTCTTAAAACCTGTTATGGCACTTTAGAAGAGTTTCCTTAGAGTTTCTACCCTCACCGTTCTCTTTTTCCAACTCAATATCCATCTGACCCGAAAAGAATTGCTGCTGTTACGATGGCCCTGAAGGACACATTGACTAGTGATTTGGTGTAAAATTGAACTTAATTTTGACCAAACACTAAATTTTGAAATGCCTGTCATTTTTTCACATTTGAGAGTTGAACCATGATACTTGGTAAATCAATGTAACTTTGGATGAGCTTTAAAATGACATATGACACATACTATGACGACACTGGTATATGTCTGCCTAGGGGGGGCCCCATACTTTCGGGACACCCTGTATTCTATATTCAAATATTTCTATCCACTTCTATGAATGGCCAGCATTTTGAATTTCTGATAGCTACTAATTGGATTTTAATTGAATTCATTTTCTCCTCATTTGATCATTTAATATGTTGCAATTCATACCTTTTATATTAAAGTTTTCATAAAGATGGAGACATAAGTTTCTAAAACGTTTTCATGAATTGCTCTCAATGCATCAGTTAAAGATGGCATTGACCAATCTTCAACTCTTATCTGTAATGAGAATATTAGATGAGCTACTGTATCAGCATATCCATTTTGTTTTGTAACTAGCTTCAGCTCAAATTGTAAGAAATATTCAGAAAATGCAATCCCTTTGCACTTTCATTAAATAATATATACCACAAATAAATCCCACAATTTCAGACAATCATTTTCAAAGGTCTAATTTCAGCTATTTTTTCACACATGAATTTTTTTTCTGTTGACTCTCACAACACTGCTCTTTCCCCAAAAATATTATTACTATTTTTAGAATACTCAGAGTTAGGTCCCTATAAAATTGTAAATTAATAACCGGAAGTTTGTGTTTTCTAAAATAACATTGTGCCTAAAAAGTACCCTTGCGTCAAATTACAAGAAATTCCATGACAATTTCTTATTGTAGAAGAAATTTCAAATGAAATAGGATGAAAAGATAAAAAAATGTATATGAATTTGAAACGACAATCTATTTAACAGTTTCTACTTTTAGAAGTTATTTTAATCATAATCTGATATGTTTAAGAGAGGTAAAAATATGAAGGGGTTTTAATGTAACAATAATAAACACGACGAGTTGATAGAATTCTGACCCTAAATTCTAACTACATTAAGAATCTGATTCATGCTCATATAATTTAAGGAGGATGCCCAAACATTAATTTAAGTTGCTTTTTTGATCAAAGTGAATTATGTCTTATGATGAAGGCCCCTGTCAGCACTGATACTTTATAAAAAATGTTTAGTCCCTTAAAGTTTAACAAATGTAAAGAAACATTGATGTTCTAACAATAAAATACCTCAAATTTGGATATAAAAAATAATGATTAATTAGAATAAAAGACAAAGGATGCCTCCCAATTTTTCGCTTCACATAACAGGAATCTGTTCCTTTTCAGAGATAAAAGTAATAATTCTTGAAACAGACTGAACAACTAAAACTAATAAAAAGACCTACTGGGTAAAACTGGATGATTTGACTCATTTATGCCATTTTTTCTAACAAGTGTTATATTTAAACAGAATATCATTAGAATCATCATAACACTTTTAATTAAGAAATATTCTGTCAATGGAGCATCATGTGGAGAAAGTGCTCGGCTCAAAAGTTAGCTCGAGGGAAAAAATGTGTTTCCTTTAACGTTTCTCCATGATCAACATCTTATCTTCAATATTTATGCTAAAATTGTGAAGTTTTGAGTTTTCATTTATAACAACCTAAAAGAGTAAATTATTCACTCAAATAAAACTTATGCTGTAGCTTATTGAATACAATTGGACACTTTTCTGTGATTTCATCAATAAATGGCTATTTTTCAGACACATTTTCAGAGGGCTGAAAAAGTTATTTCATCATGTTTATGATCATTCTGACCATGTACATTGTGATCCTGGTCAACTAGTGACTGGAGGTCAAAACAGAACTCTGTTATCTTGGTTCAAAAAATGTTTAAAATCCAGCATAGTTTTGTCACTTCCTGTTTTGTCATTTCCTGTTAATTACCATGATACCTTAGTAGAGTAAATTCTTCTTCCTGAGAAAAGTGTGTGAATATGAAATTCTAGTGTTTTAATAGTCATCCATTTTGCTAATCTTTATGTTTTACTGATTATGTATACCCCATCAGATGAAAATATTGCAGTATGGAGTCCATGAGTATTCAGGAAATAAATGTAGAAAGTACATTGATTGTACAAACCTGTAGTTTGAGAAATAGCTTTCATAAGGACTGTCTCTCCTATCCCAAGTTCTACCCCCTCATAGGCTGGAGCTAGTTTATTGAGACAGAGGTATACACACTGGGTCAGCTCAAGGGGGGTCAGGATGATCACTGACCTGAACAGATTTGTTAGGATCTCTGTCATTTTCAACCTAGAGTACAAAAATGTAATAAACTATTATCATTAGGGTTATATTCTATGTAATATTAGCCTTGGAATTTTTCTGATCAGGAGACTTAACATTACATTCCCATAATTAGCCTATAAAATTTGGATCAAATATGATAACTGGTATTTTATTTATCAAAGAAATTTTTTTAATGAACAATGGTAGTCATTTTGAGTTCTGGGAGTGGCTATCTTGAAAATCTCTTTTAGAGCAGAGTTCCTACGTCCATTATGCATGAGCCTATAAAATCTAAACTCAATTTGACAAGACGTATTGAGTTATCGCCCAGACAAACAGATGGACAGACTGTTTCTGTACATCCCTTCTGTACTTCATTCACTGGGATAACTCTTGATGAGACACTCACCTGCCAGAAGTTGCCTCTATCTGTTCTAGTGTCTTGGATAGTGCTAGATATGGAACTCTGAAATATAAGCTTTAACATGAAAAAGCTTAATGCTCATTGATGAATCACCTTATTTACTGCAGTTTCATAAAACATGAGATGCACATGACTGTATTTAAAAAATAGATATTTTATAAATATTTTATAGATAGTTTTAAACTTAGATTTAAGTAAAAACATCCGAAGCTCTTTATATAATTTGTAGAAATTTCAGAGATGAACACTTAACCTTATTTTCAAAAATAAAAAATTGAAAAATATGAGACACTCTGTACTCACTTTTCTCCCTTCTTCCAACATCCATCTTCTATAGGGTGGTACCTAGACTTGGCAGGATTAAAATCATTACCAGTTTCTGTAGCCTTACTTCCAAACATACCAAATGACCTGGAGATACACAATAAATGTACATCAAATACACATGTCAAATAACAGTAAAGGAGGAGGGAAATTAGCGCAACAGATTTTGGACAGTCATATGTTGGATTTTGGCCATTTTTCTGAGGATTTAAACAATTGCATATGTTAGGCCAATGCATTACCTCCAGGAAAATCACTTCTAGAGATGATAAAATAATTTCGACTTTGAGACAGGGTAGATGCAAACAACCCACCCACATGATTTTTCTGAAATGTTTTCCTAATTTTCGACCCCTTCCATCCCTGCTTTTTTAATTTTTCTTGCATCAATATGTTGCATTTTGCCACATAGTTAACCACTTTAAAGGAATAAGTGATTCCTTCAGGGGTTTTAAAGATACCCATTATGGGTGACCAAACTTAGCTGAAAGCAATGATTTTTCCTATGGGAAAATAACATGGGAAATATTGTTTTCCACTTTATCTAAATGGAATTATTTATTCCTTTTAAGGGATTAACTGTGTGTCAAAACGCAACATATTGATGCAAGAAAAATTAAAAAAGCAAGGATGGAAGGGGTTGAAAATCAGGAAAACATTTCAGAAAAAAACATGTGGGTGGGTTGTTTGCATCTACCCTGTCTCAAAGTCGAAATTATTTTATCATCTTTAGAAGTGATTTTCCTGGAGGTAAAACATTCGCCAAACATATGCACCTGTTTAAATCCCCAAGAAATGGCTGAAATGAAACATATAACTGTCCAAAATCTGTTGCGCTAACTTCCCTCCTCCTTTAAATCATATACAAGAGATATATAGATAGAAATTTGAAAACAATAAGATCATGTCACCACCACTTTTGAAAAGATGGTTAAAAATTATGATTAAATGAACATGTTGTTTCAAAAGCAATAACTTGAGGATTCATACAATTCTGTATCAATAATACAAGTCTTTTTCTGTTTCCAAGGTAACTGCAACGACACATTTTGATTTTTTTTAATTCAGAATTCAAAGAATCTTTTCTAAAGTAAAACATCATATTTGATGTACAACATTTTCATGTACAAAAACAATGTACAGTACAAGGCATTAACATGCAAAATGTCACCACCAAGTTGCTCACAATATCATAAGTTCAATGTTAAATCAGAGTTGATTTGAATTTCTGAGAACTCGTAGATGATTGTGGAAAAATGGTCAATTTGAAGCAAGTTGAAAAAATACCTTTCTTTGATCTTGAGAAGGTCATTCATTGAAGGTGAAATCTTAAATCTAAAGTCAGATTTGAACTTCCGATCACTTGTAGATAATTTTGAAAAAAAATTGGTAAATTTGAAGTTGAAAAAATACATTTTTGACTTTTCTTAACCTTTTTTGACCTTGAAAAGGTCATTGAAGGTCAAATATTAAATTTAAAGTCAGATTTGAACTTCTGAAACTTGTAGATAATTTGGAAAAAGATTGAAGTCAGTCTAAACAGTTTTTGTTAAGTTATTGAAAGTTGTAAGTATATGTTACAGATGCAACCGCCGCCTACCACCAACTGCCCATCAACCGCTGCCACAAAAAACGGAGACCAAAACAAAATATCACCTCTTCTTAGTGATGACATAAAAACCTGTCTCATCCAAACACCAATAAAAATTTGGACTCTTTGGATTACCAGTCTGCAGGTGTTCACATTCCAAGTTTTGTTAACATGGTAGTCAATGGGAGAATATAAAATAAGGGCCAGAAAAGTGTTCAAATTGAGAGGTGGTAAATTAGAGATATGTTCTCATATACAGGTTTAATTCAACACCAATGGGACCAGTGAAAAGTGTTTGGATTAACAGGTGTTCAAATTTCAAGGTTTTTTAACATGGTTGTCAATGGAGGAATTAAAAAAATGGGACTGATTAAGAGGTGTTTAGATTAAAGAGGTGTTTGTAAGTATCTACAGATTTTGCTGTAGTTAAATTATATATCCTCTATTTCCTAGCCTTTTCCAAGAATGAGGCTTCATTGATGGTATTAAACTAATATTTATCAGAATGGCTATATTAACATAGGAGTGGTGATTCTATATAACTTTGAGAGTCAGAATAGATACCACGATATGTCAATTAAATACCTTTACAGTTCATACAGAAAGCAAGAATATGTGAGAAATACCCTTATATAAGCATGACATCAATAACTCAAGAAGAATGGAGAGAAGCAAAATCAATAGAGTAAACATTCTTGGCTCAGTTATAATATATATTGATACTTTATATACATGTATGACGTAATTTCCCGTTCTAAATAAACAATTTATTTCGAAGGGAATCCTGGTCTTTTATCCTAGTACCTTATCAATCGGCAACTCCCCATCCTTTTACACACGTTATGCCTTTCAAATCCAATCACCAAAGATTTTTAATATCCTGATAAAAAATCAATGATCACTAATTAACATTAACCTTTGATAAGTGGCTTGAGATTATATAGCTTGAGATAACAATCTTATGATGGTGCACATTCCAGGTAAATTGTCAATGGAAAGTTATCATTTCGGTAAATACGTCTATAAACTAGAAATTATGTAGATTAATGAATTTGTGGATACAACTTTGATAAATTGTTCCTACTTGCAAATCTACCTGGGGAAAACACGGATATAAAAACAAGGACATGATTAAACGAGAAATATGTTCTAAATCATCTTTACTACACTTAATCAAATATAAGGATCTACTTGCCTTATCACTGCCCCATGAACAGAAATACTTTTTAAAACCAAGAATTGGAATTTGTGCTTAATTATTTAAAATGACTCCTCAACAGTCCATCCATTGATCCTAGTAAGACTCTTAGATAAGGATTGAAAATCAGGAATTAAGCTCATTATTATATAAATTGATTGATAATTATGTTTATAATTATGATTTATCATTATTGAATTTATGTTATACCTTCAGCAAATGTGCATTCACCTATATTTAGAATCGGATGATATCTTTGCTCTATTGGAAATTTCTAACATGCGATAAAATGTGAATTCGTAAGATTTGATTTTCTTTTGACAGAAATATTTTTGGCATTCTGATAGCAACAACATCTCTCTGAAAAGTGTTAGGATTCATATAAGTCAAAAAAACCTTTCAATAAATCATATACAACTTCACTCTTTAACTTGATTTGATCTTGCACATATGATACCAGAATATGAAGTAAAGATCATTATATTTTCTGCCTATAATTTGCTTATATTCATTTAACATCCAATCTCCCATAAACAGAGATTATTAAGAACTTATCAGCTTACTTATCTCTGAAATCATCAAGTAATAATCAGAGGGAAGTGTGGAAAGCCAATGGTAATTCAGGGTAGCCAAATGTGCAACTGAACTCAGTTTTCAGTATCATTATTAACACTACAGTTTATAATTTTACTATATATTTCTCAAATGTATCAACTTTTAATACCTAATATAGTATACCTAATACACCTTCAAAGTGGAACACATCAGATCTCAACACCAACGTATTTAATATTAAATGAACCATTATAACAAATCAAAATCTCAATCTTCATATCCTCTCAAAAAGAGCTGATTTCTTCTTATTAATATTTTCTAATGAAATAAATGACATCCTCCAAAATAACTTCAAAACATCAAAGTCAGTGAAGCATGTTGATATAGCAGGTGAAATAATCTAGAAATGTAAATATGCCGTTTCTATGTTATTGGTATCTTATATCTGCCAAGACCATATCAAATCTGACATCCAAATATCACTGAAGATAAAACATATCAAAAAACAAATATTTCTTATGATTGTTGATGATCTGAGTTAATTCGTCTTAAGTTTAATTTTGAGACATTAATATTCAGATCCCAGCTACAAGTAGAATGTTCTACACAAGATTTGTACTCAATAATATCCAGTAGGTGCAAAGATCATTTTCACAATTCACACTCACAAAAATATGTGTATTTCTCATCATATTTCTCATTTTCATACCAAGTCTGCACATGTACTACATGTCCAGTTTTAAACTTCATCTGTAATTCGAATATTGTAGTAAAGGCATCAATAATTCTCAAGTAATGAAAATGATAATATTCATTTTGTTCATAAGGAGGTATTTATTATCAACTCACAAAAAAACTGATTTTTATTCTAAAAAATACTGAAACATAAATATTTAGATATTTGTAGGATCTTGAGCTTAATCAAATCAAATATTGTTCTTTCATATCCTAATATTTTGATTTAGCCTTATTGGTAAGTGGCGGCTAAGCTACCTAAAAACAGGTCAATGAATTTGTGTTTTAGAGAGGACCCCTTTACAAAATACAATTTTTGTCAATATTTTTCCCAAATCTATTAGATTTCAAAGACAAATAAAAAACAAAGTAAATATATGTTTCTAATTCAAATTCTGGGCTTTGACAGGTAATCTAAAGACAAAGAAATCAGAAAACATTTAAAACACAATGTCACAAACTACAAACAAATAATTCTATTTCAATTACTTCCAAATGGTGTCTAAGACACAAAGCAGCCGCAGGCCTGTGAGAATTGAGCATTTGATATCATAAAACCATCAACAAAACCAAACAAATCGTAATGTAACATTTTAAAGGCCAAGTGTTAGTGATTCTATCAAGTGCTTTGTTGTGTGTGTTTATATATACAAGTTTTAAGTAACCTTGGCAATGCTAAATGAATCTTGAACATCTAAAAAACAAAATTCAACATGTCTTCAACGAGTTTTTATCTAAAGGACATAAAACTGTCCTATACCCTAAACACATTGATCTATAAAAGAAACATTTGCCAATTATATTTCTCGATATCTACATTCCTGGATTAAATCGATATTGTTACAAAACATATATAATTTCAAAACATTTTCATATTTTAACTGTAGAGTGCTCTTTTCATTTAGTAAACGTACAGACAAGGAACACATTGTACGATAATCAACATATTAAATACATAAATCTATGAGATAAACAGAATTGATAAAACAGCTGAGCAAGTTCCAGTTCAATGAAGATGAGCAGTGTAATCTTCCGGAAGATTCTAACACCAGCCATAAAATTTTTGGCAGAATCTAGTTTTAAGTTTTTTTCTCAGTAATATATGACTGAAGCAATACGTTTTCTTACATTTCTATATAATTCAAAATTTGAACTTAATCCCTGTTCATTTGTTTAAGGATGATTCCTCACATTTTTACTGAATTCTGTAATTTCACCCCCCCCCCAACCCACCTAATGTTCTAGCACGTTCAGAAAACAGAAGTGGTGAAAACCACAGCAAAATTTCATAATGGGGGAGACAAAAAAGAATGAAAAAGAGTGGAATCGACAAGGAATGAAATGAACAGAAAAGGAGTTCTAAACCAATGCTGTGATAAAATCAACCCCTTTGCTAAAATTTAGGATTATAGGTAAAAGTGTCAGTAGAACTTCAACAATGGGAGAGTCCCCTTTTATCTGAAGTTCTAGACTAGCCCTGCTAACAGCCTATTATACTTCCTATCTCGACAAGCCACCGATCATTGACTGTTTAACTAATTAAAAACCATATAAGTCTTTTTTTATTGCCTATAAAGTACTGGAAAAACAAGTGCACTGTTCAGAGAAAGGGATGTTTGGGAGCACAGGTGTGTTAATTAGTTGTTAGGCGTATCCATGCCAACATGTATTCTACTCTCCCTGAAGGAGAACCCTCTCTGACAGGTGAATTCCACCTTTTGCCACTATCTGGACTCGGTTCTGATCTCCAATCTGTATGTTTCTGCTTGAGAAACAGTGGTTTCATTGTTGAAAGTATTTACATATCACATCTGTTAGGCAAGAGAAATTCTGCTTAAAGATTTGATAAAAAGTAAGAACTCACCGTCCGTTTTCATTATTAAGAACATGGATCTTAATTCAGGTAGTTTGGGACAGATAAGATGCTTAGCTATGGTCCCGTCTTTGATTCCTGTCTGGGAGATTTTTCAAAATTGAAACTAGAGTATTCTTGTGTACTTGGTCCCATTTTCATTAAATCATTATTTTGTGGTATGTTTATTGTAACCAGGTGTCCAGCAATTGATTAGTCAACTCATATCAGACCTTTGCAGAAGATAAAATTAGAGGGATGAATTACCCTTGTAAAGATTAACTATTTCACACTCTTTATTTAACTGATGAATCTCTAAATCTCTAAAATCTCCTGATTTAACTAGAGTCTATGTCCTTCAACTAACTTGCAATACCAGATCGTTCAATTAGTTCACAATAGAGATGCTGATATTTTATCAATCAATAACCAGATATTTTTGGGATGTTATCTCAAAATATCATGAAAAATATTGAAAACCATTGAAATGAGAGCATTTTTCCTCAATCTTATTGAATGACCTGGTATGTGAAAACATATTAAATTGCTCTACTGTGGTCTCTGATTGGCTTATTTCAAAAAATAATTGTGATCTGTAATTGTCAGAGTATAGTATCTATATGATAACCCAGCAGTTAATATTGTAACAATTAGCAGGGAGAAATCAATAGGTCAAAGTAAACTATTTATATATAGATTTTTCTCATTAGTCACTTTCCAAAACTGCAAATCTGCCCAGCATGAGACTTCCAATTAAAATTGTACAACTTAAATCCTTCTACAGATAAATTAAACTTCACATACTATGTTTCTTTCTGAAGAACATCAAAAATTCCAAAATAATTAAATTTTTTGATTGTTTTATTCTTAATTCTCTATATTTTTCAGTTTTTCTTGAAATATAGCTATAAGAATTCTGTGAAAATAAGATGATGAATCTCATAGACTTGGCCCAGCATGTGATTTATTAACAGAATGCAACATTGCATGACAGATTCTTCAAGCCTTTTATAATCCTTTCAAATGTCTCCCCCCTCACCCCTCCCCCTATACTGTTCAGAATATTCACATTTCGGTTTGATACAGAGTGGTAGAGAGAAGGAGGTAGATATTATATGCAAACCTTATTGAATACAGTGCCTACAAACCATATGAATACTTGTGACAGTACAGTTCAATTTGCCAATTGATAATTATGGGGGTTTTCCTGTTTCTAAGTTCTTTTACCTCAGACAATTGTTTCTTTTGTTAGAACATGGAAAAAATCTTGATGCCGTTTCTTCCAACTGCAAGGCTCCGCCAATTAACAAACAAACAAACAAACAAACAAACATTTCTATGAATGTTTTGTTGAATGATATGGTTGATTGTCTCTGGTATAATCAAGCAGTGAAATTTCTGAATATCCCAAATAGTGCATGTGATGTAACATGTCACCAGTCTGAGTTTCATGGAATTCATATGGTTTATAGGGGTCTGTGTTTATTGTGTTTGACAAATGTTGCTCTGAGTAGATAATAATTAGCATTGGAATCATAAAAATCCCTTACTGATGAAGTGAAAATAGAAAATCTTTTTCTACATTTTTCTTCTCTTTAGGATTACATAATTAAGAACTTCAATGAAACACCTTTCTTCAATTTCTGTATAGTTCCACTGCACTCTCTTCTAACCAGAATAAGCTGAAAAATCAACCGCAACACTTTTTACCCAAATTTTTTAGAAGGGAACTCTCCACATAAAAGTGATATCAGATCACGAAGTTACATTGCAAGTCCAGCCTTCAACAAGCCAATATCAGAAAATGGTTTTAAAGAATCAAACAATCTTGAAAATAATTATGTGATATTACTTCAAAAGTCTATTAAAGTGATTGGTTCTTATTGGATCTGAATAAAGAAGTGAAATATTATGAAAGATAGACTTTGATGAGCTAAAGAGTCAAAGTTAGAAATTCAATAACGACAATTGGATAGATTAATTGAGCAGTTTAGCACTTGCTATTGGTTTGGCCATATTGGCACCAGGGAATATTCATGCACTCTTTGACTTAAAATCTAGTATAAAATAAGGATTTAAGCTGGTAACATGAAGGTAAAAGTCAGCTTTATATATTATATAAAATAGTACTATATATTTTCCATTTTGAAAATTGTTTATTAACAAATTAAATGAAGTAATGCAAAAGGCCTCTTTAAATATGTCACTACATCCCAATGTCAAGTTTCTAAAATAAGTGAAAATGATAGCTATAAGTAATAGGATAATTGAAGAAACTTATCATTTTAGTGCTAATGATATCTGCATAAGGGATTACAGAAATAATTTGCGTCTCTACTTCTCTATAAGACTAGATAAGAAAAAAATGTTAAATACCTGGAAATGGAAGTTATTGAGATGTAGAAATATCTCAATTCTATAACATTTTTTGTGTTATGTACCTAACAAGCCAAAGAAAAACCATGCAATAAAGTAAGGGCTGTTGTATTTTTCAGAAATTGGAATGATATAGAATGTTGAAAGCAAGAAATTAAGTGAAATAATGACATTTTTCATAATAAACTTTCAACTTGTCTCGAGTCTTTCGTTGCATCTTCAAATAAGAATTGTATGCCATACATCCATATACAGTGGAACCTGTGAAGTGGAACACCTCTAGAAGTGAACACCTCTGTTAGTGGTAACTTTTCAGAGTCCCAAGACCAATTGACTTGATGTTAAATGAACTTCTACATGTGGAACACCTCCAAAGTGGAACATGTTTTAGAGGTACCAATTATGTTCCACTTAGACAGGTTTTACTTTCGCATGATAAATTAACAGCCAAATTTGGTCAAAACTTGGTCATCTATATAAAATGAAATGCATGAAGATCACTTGATTTCTTTTCACCCCTATTTCCTATACTTGAAAGCATTTACTGCAGATTCCATTAAATAAAACACTGACCAGCAAATCAATTCAGAAATTGACGCGATAAAGCCCTTAATCCAGGGTAAGGGTAAATCCAGGGTAAAAATATTCAATTCCATTGATACTTATCGAGTTATTTGAGAATCAATGTCAGATAATAGAAAGGTTCTAAGAATATTGGTCAATTAGCATCCATTATCTGACAAAACCTTCAATCGAAAAAAGTCTCTCATATCAGAAAATGTCAGTTCTTTTCACTGCTGAAAATTTCCATAAAGAGTGTAACATTTTAATGGCTTTAATCAAGATTATGGTCTGGTTCAAGGAATTGTGCACCACTTAAGTTATAAAGGTCTGCAGATAAGCATACATGTATTAGATTGCTGGGAATTCATTTAGTTTGTATGTCAAATTAAATGAACAATCAAAAAGCCTAGAAATGACATCAAAATTGACACTGGATTGGGAGAGAGGCTGGTGAGTCAGTAATCTAAAGGATAACACTTGCAATGGATCCCAAAATGCTAGGGACCAGACATCTGTGGTCCAAGGCTATTTCACTTCTTTCTTTGAATTTAAGCATGAAGTCCTTTGAAGAAGGATGAGGACCAGAATAGCTCATAAGATCAACATCAAACAATGGTCATATTTGAGAAATGGGCCTCAATTTGAAAAAAATGGTTGATGGATTAAAAACCTTAACCCCCTTTCAACTTATACTCTTGCTTTATAGACTTGAGCACTAATATTTTGGTACTGACTTTTGTGTTAAATTCACAGGATAACAGAATTCACTTTTATATTTATATTCCTCTGAATGGGTTCTTTATAAAACACTATTGCAAACACTTGTAACATTTTTGACATGTCAATGTTTAATTGACACTGACAGAATATGTCTTATTTCAAAATAATCTTGTTACTAGATGTTAAACATAACAACAATGGTATCGGGTGAAAATGTGCAAACAAAAACACGGAGACTCAATTTACAAGTAAACACTGCAATGAGTTAACAGTGAAAATGCATGCAACCTTTAATAAAAATATTTATGATTCAAAGAGTTATCTCAAAGAAAAAATAATTTCATTTTTATTTGAACATCTCATCGTAGTTTTTTAAAAACAGTTCAAAGAACTCTCTCAGCAAGAAGTTTAGATAAATCCCTGCAGTACATGTACAATTCTTTGAAACTGATCACGAATGATTGAAAAGGGGTTCAATTGTAAAATTGATTCAGTACAGAATACATATCTTCAAAATCTTTTGATTAAACGTTTTAATGATGACCATTTGAGATAAATAAAAAATCGCTCTTTCGATGATGGATTTTTTTTCTATTAACCAAGAATGCTTCAATCAAATCTCTCTTTAAAAATTGCCCTCTTAAATGCAATACATACTGTTTGTAATTTTGTACAAGTCAAAGTGATAATTTTTATCATTTTTCATTCCAAATACTACATCTAAATGCTAACCCCAGATCTCTACAGAGGCCCTCCACATGCCTGTATCTCTTCCATAAGCTGACTGTTTTATTTATCATTTCTGACATATTTTTCTCATATTTTTCGAGTTACCACTGCTTTTTGAATGCTCTGTGTTTTCATAGTAGATTATAAACACGGTTCTCAATCAACAGGTATGAAGCTACATATACTTCCCATCTTACTCTGCCTTGATTTTTGCTGTGTGTTTATTACATAGGTGAATAAGGTAAAAGGAATCTATTATGGTTATGTCATGGGAGTTTATGGACTGATAACCATAAAATTCCCCAAAATATGTTATTCCCTTATATTTTAAAATCAACCAGGTGGTGTACCCAGTAGAAAATTTTTAAATTGCCTTCATACCCGGTTAAAAATAAAAATGAGTTAATAAGAATTTGAACCGTTTTGAAATTGAAAGAACACTATTGAGGACAAGCAATATTGAGATCAAAACATGTTTTGTTAATTGAAGTTTGATAATTTGATTCTAATTATCTGCATTATCACATTGAAGCAAAACATCTGCAGCATATCATACTCTGTATATAGACCTTTCAGGTGTGTGTTGATAAACATACTGATAATAGCAAATTCTTTCAGATTTTACACATCAATGTTTGACAGTATAAAGGCAACCAAAATTTTCAGAAAGGCCTCGGATAGGCTAAGATCTCTTACTAAAGAATCCCTATTAAAATTAATTAGAATTGATAATACATATTCACTTTTCCCATCTTGCTTTTATTCAAACTCAAGTATCATATACCCATCTGCTATGTGGTATGCCATCTATGTTATCTCATTAACGTTATCTTATGATGTCAAATTTATTATCTCATTCATCATAATTATCTAATATCAATAATCACGCCTAACTACTGTATTTATCCTATTTTTGTTATCTTATTCTATTTATCCCATTCTAGCTATCTTAGTTATAATCTCTAGTCCCTGTTATCATATAAGAGATACTATTTCAATCAGTAAAACCATCTTATACGAGTTATCCTTTATATCATGTATCCTGCTTTGGTATGGTATTCTAATTCAATTCAATATTCCAAAAGAGAGACCCGGGAAACACCTCCCTGGCACAAATATCACATTATGTCACTTTACCACAATTTTAGTGACCCTATTGAAGTAACACTATTTTGAACTAGCATACCATAACCATATAAGATATCCATGTCAGATATCTTCACACTCAGGAAATCTCATTAATCTTTTTGGCTTTGGGCAGATCCTGCTTCCAACTGTGAGTTGCATTGCTCCCCAGCATACAGAACAAGTCAAAGTAGTTCTCTCAAAGTTACAGTATTTCAGTCATCTATCTTTGTAAAACCATTGAAGATATCTAGCATTTACCTTGTTACAGTATTCCCAGAATTCTATTATTTTACATTTCAGGTCTTTGTTATTTTCTGCATTCTACTGGGTCACGTCTCCATCAGTGTGAGTCGTGTTGAGCACCAGCGAGTGGATTTTGACAACAAGTTGAAGCAGATGAGCAGAGAGGAACAATGTGGATGCAACTGCATGCAGGGTCAACCAGGGGTCAATGGACAACCAGGTGTGCATGGGGTGCCTGGAGAAAGGGGCCTAGATGGACGTGATGGCAGGAAAGGGGACCAGGGAGAACCAGGAAAACTCGGTCCTAAAGGTAAGAGATAGAAGATATCATTTATATGTATGCAGGTAAATTGAGTGCCTGGGAACTAGATGGGAAGGGGAAACTTAGGTAAAATCAAAACATGGGCCTGAAGAGTATAAGATATCTTAAGATCTCATTGATATGTATGCAAGGTCATCTAAGGGTGGAAGGTCAACAAGGGCAGCATGGCAAAGAGGACTAGCCAGATATAGCCCCTAAAAGTAAGAAATATCTTCAAATGTCAATATCATATCTGAAAGATCCAGAAGAGGATCTTAGATCACATTGACATGTAAACAGAGGATTGTGGGTTGAAGTCTGGCTGGGTGGAGTGACTTTCTCATAAACCTTGTTGCAGTTTATTTATTTTTTGTAGTAACTGGAAACAAATCAACATATTTTATTGTTATGTTTAGGGATTTACCCTGTTGTATTTTCCAGTAAATTAAGTATGGAAATCAAAATAAAAAACTTATAATAAAGACATCTTGCAAAAACAAATGACACAGTGATCATATATGGTTTCAGGTCCTCCAGGTCTGCCAGGAAAAGATGGTCCCAAGGGCCCTTCAGGTCGCAAGGGAAAGCGTGGAGTAGATGGCAAGTCAGGAGTTGATGGTCCCAAAGGACAGAAAGGTGAAATGGGACCCAGGGGATTACTAGGCCCCAGGGGTCACAAAGGAGAGAAGGGAGAGCTTCCCAATCATGTTGCATTCTCTGTTGCGAGAGCCTCCAAACTCGGACCAGTTGAACAAGATATGACTGTCCTCTTTGATCGTGTCTTCACAAATGTTGGCGAAATGTTTGATGAATATACATCACATTTTGTGTGTAAATTAAACGGCACATACATGTTCACGACACATATCTTAGGACAAGAAGATAAAGATGCAATCGCATGGTTAATGGTTAACAACAAACATCAGCTCCCCCTACATGCAGATGGGCGCTCAGGATACGGCACTGGCTCGAACACAATCATCCTGACCCTAAAGCTGGATGATCACGTCTGGTTACAATTAAGCAAAAACTCAGCGCTTCTTAATGACTACTCCACCTTCTCTGGTTTCTTACTGTTCAGTAGTTCTGTACCCAAAGAAGTGGAGGACCCAATGGAACACTTCTATAGGTGGTAATAATTAATAATGCAGCTCGAGCATATCGTTTTTACATTGTATTCCTGAACAGTTACATTATATACCTGTACAATACCTTGATGGATCAAGGATCAAGATGCAGCATATAAATGTGGATTGTCAACTTACAGGTGATAATACTCCAATAAAATCATGCACTTTCAATCTTACTCATAATACTGCCTCCATTTTCTGAATGGGGAATGGAGCTATTAATGAGAGAGAAAAATAAGAAGGGGGACAATCATTGTGGTACTGAGAAACGTTGATGTGTATCATTTACAAACATGTTCATGCACAAATATATTATTATATACATTTTGTGGTAGACATTTAAAATATATATACAACTGTATCTCTCAACTACATGTATATTCTTCTAACCAGTAAAGTACTATGTATATCAAGAATATCACTACAAGTCTTAACACATGAATAAAGGATTTCCCTGAAGTAAAAGAATGTACTAATTTGGAATTTTAGAAAACAGATAGTTATGACAAGGAATGATATGAGCCCAAAAAATGTTATTTCATAATGTAAGATTTCCTACTTCCCTTTAATCACAAAATGCCTGAAGTAGAGTTCTCACATGAAAGTTAACTGTGTATATAAAGTAAGTAATACAAACAAGACTGTTTCATAACATTTCTTCAATTCTGACAGAACTTGTATAATGTTACAACATATGTGCTAATTATGAAAATACAAAAACTGCTAATGGATAATACGTATATCAATTTCATATTCTAGTACACCTTTTTATTTACAAAAAGTGCTAATGAATCATACATATATCGATTTCATATTCTAGTACACCTTTTTATGTACATATAAACCTGTATATACAATATACATGTATCAATATAATTTGCATGTTGTTCAAATTAAATGTAATTCCAAATCTCAAATATACAGCTAGAATTTGCATGTCTTCATGTAATTATAATCATAAATTTTTAATTTGATAATAATGACCTATTGTTTAGATTCTTATTATTATGTTGTATGTTGGAAATAAATTATTTTGTAAATACAAAATATATATCACTGTTATGATCATAATATGTTGAATATTGAACTTTTTTATCTGAAAGTTTCTTGGTTGCTTTACTTCAACAGATTTACCATCTCTAAAAATAGAGACTAATTTTGTGGGGTAACATTGTTTATAATGACATACTTTGGAATATTCATTTTGTAACAATGACATTTGTTAAACAAGGCATTAACATGACAAAATGTTACCACCCAATTCAATTGCTCACAATATTATGAGTTCAATCTTAGTCGATTTGAACTTCTGAGAACTTGCAGAAACGGTCAATTTGAAGCAATTTGAAAAAAATAACTTTTTGATTTTTTTACCTTGAGGTCATTGAAGGTCAAATCTCAAATCTAAAGTCAGACTTGAACTTCTGAGAACTTGTAAATGATTTAAAAACAATGTGGTGAGTTTGAAGGAAGTTGAACTTCTGAGAACTTGTAGTAATTTTGAAAAAAAATTTGGGTCAATTTGAAGCAAGTTGAAAAAAGACCTTTTGACCTTTTTTGACCTTGAGAAGGTCACTGAAGCCAGATTTGAACTTGTAGATGATTTTGAAAAAATTGAAGTCAGTCTAAACAGTAATTGTTAAGCTATTGAAAGTTTTTTGAATTAGTTACAGACACCAACCACTAACCACCATCCGCCAACCACCAACTGCCATCACAAAAAACGGAGGCCATAACAATATGTCACCACTTTTGGTGATGACATAACAAGATAAAATCCGACCACCTGCAAATGGTTTTTTGAAGTTGTAAAAATTTGTTACAGGTGCTGACTGTAGAACACTGTTCACAAAAACAGTTAGGGACTATAACAATATGTCATCACTTTTGGTGGTGACATATAATGAACCACTTTACTTGAGCAATATGAACACCTGAGTGAAATGAATTTATTCTTATATACTACTCTTGTATCAACCATTTCATCTTTTGAGACCTTGTACCTATACTTTCCAGGTTGGTCCAGCTGACACATATTAAGTTTTTTTGACTTGAGTGACATCTTTTTATTACTGAGCCTTTATTGCATTTCTTTGGGAAGAAATACCTGGAACTACCCTGCGCACAGAGTCTAGTAATGAACTACCCTCTGCCTAGTATAGACTATGTTACAGTTTAGTAGCCCCGCCCCGAAGATTGGTGCCTGTGACAGCCCGGGTAATAAATCATTCCAAATCTTCCACGCTGACCCTTTCTCAACCAATCAGCGAAGTGGAAGGAACGCGTGCTAAATACGTGCTCATTAACTACGCAGTGATGTAATAGGAAATGACCTTATAGAAAGTCGTCCGTATTTCGACGACGATCTCTGATTGGCTCGGTGAGATCAGAGATTTATTGTAAAGTGAAAGAGTGAAGACGAAGCTCTCTTTTAAGAAGTGAAGTTGAACGAATGCAAAGGGTAACCTGGAACAAGTCAAGGTGATCTTAAGTGGAGGTAAGAAATCCCTTCATATTTCCATTTCCTTTTTGCAGTTGAGAGTTGTTTGTATAAGAGAAGATGTAAATTTTTAATAAAACAAGGTATCAACAAATATGTCACTACCTGGAAAGATATTGCAAATACTAGCTCAACCATTTGCTACAGAAACTGAACGCCAACCACCAATTGCCAGTTACAATTAATATGTCACCATTTTTGGTGGTGACATAATAATAATATTCACTTACTTTTTAGCAGGAGTTTCTTTCTTGTCCTCGTTTACTTCTTTTGTTTTCTTATCTCCTTCATTATCTTTATTCTGTTCTTCCTTTGTATCTTTTTTATTTTCACTTCCCTCCTCATTCTTGATTTCCTCCTTTATTTCTTTCTTAACCTCCTTCTTCGTCTCTGGTGTTTTAACAGCATTTTTCTTTGTTGTTTTCTTTGTTGATTTTGGTGTTTTTGTTGCTTTTGGCGATGATTTTTTGGTCTTTGGTGAGGGTTTCTTTGTCTCTGGAAAATTACACAAAATATATCATGTTATGCCAGGTTAATTGTTTTGTTAATCCCCCATTCAAAAGTTTGCTTGAAACCCCCCCCCCCCCCCCACACACACACATACAGGGAGGGTAAGGAATTTGATACATACCTGACAATGATCAATATTTACCTGTACAATGATCTTTACATGCCTGACAATGATCAATATTTACCTGTACAATGATCTTTACATGCCTGACAATGATCAATATTTACCTGTATAATGATCTTTACATGCCTGACAATGATCAATATTTACCTGCACAATGATCTTTACATACCGGACAATGATTTATAGTTTTATACCTACCTGTACAATCTTTACATACCTGACAATGATCTACCCCTACCTGTTAATTTTTAATGATGTTTACATACCTGATAATGATTCATAGCTACATGGACAATGATTTATACTTGCCTGTACAATGATCTATCCCTGTCTCTGCAGAAAACTATGTTAAGATTATCCAGTTTTGAGCGAAAATAAAAAATAAATAATGTTGACTTCCAATTACCTTTTACAGGCTGTTCTTGTTCAGTTATTTTTGAAGGCTCTGACTCAACAACTTCCTGAAAATGATATATATACATATGAAGTACATTTATATGCAAAATTGAAAATATTCTAAAAACTTTTTTTCTGCATGTTCCAAGGTTATTTTTTCAAACTTTTAAGATTTTTTAATTTAAATAGTATGAAGACATTACACTTATCCTAAGAAAACTAATTACATTTTAACTTTACCTCAGAATCAATTTCCATTTTCTCTTCTTTAACCTTATCTGCCTTAACATCAACCTCCTCTCCTTGTTTATCCTTTTCTTCATCAGTTGTGTCTTTAACGGACTCTGGGGTTTTGGGTTCACATTTTGGTTTTTTGTTTGGAGATGATTTTGACTCCTTATTTGGAGAGCTCTCATCTGCTTTCCGTTTACGCATATGCTTCCGAGCTATTAATATAGGATTGTTATAGAACTGGCTGATGGGGATTACATTTTAGACATGTTTTTGAACAGTGAAAAAAACTAGTTAGCCTGTGCTTCAGTTAATTATAATTACAAGAGGAGAATTTGATAAAAAATTGGTAGTCTTGCATCCAAGTCTGCGCCAAAAATACTAAAATCAACTGCAACTTTTTAGCAACATTTTCCTGTGAAAGTATACAATCCATTTTATGTCATCTATTGGCAATCTCTTGTCCAACATACAGTAGAACCTGTATATCTGAACACCTGGCTAATCCGAACACCTTTCAATTTGAACACTTTTTTTCAGTCCCATTGACTCCCATTGACTCCATGTTAAAAAACCTTGAAATCTGAACACCTTCTAATTTGAACAGTGAACAACCAGATTTGAAAAAGTGACCTGTCTAATCTGAACATTTTTATCAGAAATCAAATGTCTGGACATTTCAAGTAAAGCCACAAATTGAGTCAATGTTTTAGTTGTTATTTATCATTACATATACAATGTAATTAAAGAACCAATATTGTCCTAATTAACTTATTTAGTCTCAGTGACATCCCTAATTTGCAGAAAACAACAGGATGTTTTGAAAGGTGTGAATACAGGAGCTAATTGGTTTATCCTATTAGAAAAGAACTGAATGTTTTATGTTTGGATTAAGAGAAAGGTGTGAATCAAGAAGATAATTGATTTATCATTATTGGAAATTACCTGGATGTTTTTGATTTGGATTAAGAGAAAGGTGAGAATCTGGGAGATAATTGGTTTATCCTTATTGTAAATTAACTGGATGTTTTAGATTTGGATTATGAACAGGTCTTAACTCTTTTATATCCCATGGGTCTGTTATGATAGCTAAGATTCAATCAGTAAATGTTTTATAATCACAAAGACAACACAGACGCCATTTGCAGACAAGATTATATCACGAGAAAGAGAAAAATTCAACTTCGTAATATCCTATCACCAAAATGTCTCCTAAAAAGGCATACATCTGACATCCTGAATGCCCTTGATATTTTGAAGGATTATACATCATCTCGAATGAACACTCATGAAAAATTATTTTTACTTGAGTATATCTATTCAAATATTGCTAATTCTAAAAGTGCCAAGAAACAAACAACATTGAAGGACTTTTTCAAGCAAAGGCAAAGCAGTGCGATTTCGTACGAGACTATCATATACTTTTACAGTGTATTACAAAGTTTTTGCCAAAATATAAGAGTTATTTTTACTAAAATGATGAAATTGTTCAAAATATAAATAAAACATAGTATATAGGCTTTAGGCCTATTGTAGAATTTACTCATCAACAACATGCATTGTTTTCTGACTTACTGCTTAGTATTAAGTGTTCAATATAGTGGACTGAACAATGAAAATCTCCCCCCCCCCCCGACCAACAAAATCCTCGAAATTTGAACACCTGCCAATTTGAACGCTTTTGGCTGGTCCCATGGGTGTTCGGATTAGACAGGTTTTACTGTACATGTATGTTACCAACCTGTGGTCCTAGTAGGAGGTATAGGAGATTTAACTGCACTCTGGGGACTGCTTGATCCAGCTTTAGCTTCAACATCAGAGTTTGTCTAGAAACCAATGAAAACTCCAAAATGTAGACGAAATGCCTTCGGTAGTTTAGGGGCATGAAGAGTCAGACACTATTTCAAAGCAAAAACTGACTAAAAACAGGAGTACAAGTATGCATACAGTATACAATGTACAGTATACAATGTGAAAACCTTAATGTTGTATTACTTAGATTTAATTCAGATGAAACAAGTTCTGCCTGTTATTATAACATTATGACTACCTCACATAAGATTGGCATGTTTTAGTTTAAAATTCCACTCAGGACAGGTACTAATGATTATATAGCAGTATAGTTATATAGAAGTCATCATATTAGCCTTACCACTTCTTTTTCAATGTCTTCTTTATTTTTTTCCATTTGCTGTTCATCTGTTTTTGTGTTAGCTGGTTCTTTTGTTTCCTTAGAAACTGTTTCAGGTTCTTTTTCATTTTCATCTTCACTGTCACTTTCAATGATCAATCGCCCCTTTTTCTTAATGACATGGCTTTCCTCTACCTTCTTTACAGGAGATGTTTCCTTCTTCACAGGAGAGCTCTTTGCTTTCACATCTGGAGACTTTGTGTTTTTCTGCTTCAATGGTGACTTAGTTCTGTAAAATGTAAAAATATCCCAATATAAAATCTCAATTATACGAGACAGTGCTTTGGCAGAAGGTCCGCGACCAACTCTTCATAACCAGGCATCATTCATTGCGATAGCTGCTCCCCCTCTGTCTTTATCCTTCCTTCTCGCAAACAACAGATAACAGGGGCTCTGGCATACCAGAATGGGCATCACTGAAAAACTCTTGGAAAACATGTGCTTAATCACGTTATCATATCCTGCTATTTCACATGGCGATATCGAAAAATTTGTACGCTGTGGCGGAGCGTGTTATTTTGCATAGAAACACTAAGAAACCCACAAAATTAATTTTTTACTCACATGTTTCACCATACCAGAGAAAATTACTTACTCCATGCAATGGATATATCAATTGAGGGTAACTTTAAATTCTGTTTGAAGTCCAACAACGCTAAGAGTAAAAACTATTAAAAACGGCGCCAGAGTATCATACTCCAAAATGTACCATTTCTTTTTAATGGTATAATATCATGACACGATAATATTTACATATTCAGCATAACTCTGAAGGTATTAATGAGATTTTGATGTATTGGGTATTTTAAATTTTTTTTATCAAAAAAAATGTTTAAATTTATTGTCCTCTGTGAGGAAGCAGTTTTAACTATGAACTACGTTAAGAATTTAAGAAATTATATCTTTTAAAAGTACCCTTAGAGGAGAGAACGTTTCAAATCACTACCAACTGGGAACACATTTTTGGGGCCCCATTTATGTTCAATGTACACATGTTTTACTGTAGTTGCATCAGATATCCATAACTCTTTATTCAAATAAAGAACAATCTTAAAATCTAATTTTGCATATTTGTATTTCAAGATACACCACTCACCTCTTGGAAACTACTATAGAGAGTAGAACAATCCACAGTTCTACAGTTCATACCATTATATGTATTCAGTTTCATCTTCATCAAATAATTTTACTTCAAATAATCAAGTTACTGTAAAAAACGACCATGTAAGGTGATGGATCCACAGTAGGCACTATGAAAGGCAAATACCCTATACTGAAATGAAGTTGACTATCATTTTAATGAGTTACCATGCATAAGTTGGATTGCAGTACAAACTGAGAAAAAAGCTTTAAGAGTGGTATATACATCCCAGAATTTGAATTGTGTACTTTTAATACGTTTCATTTTTCAGAATACTTTACGAAAGAGATCTGAAACGTTCGCTCCTCTGAAGTGTAGTTGTAAAAGATATATTATAAATCTTAAATTCTTAAAACGTATTTCAGATTAGAAACTGCTCCATCACAGCGGACAAAAAAATTAAACCCAATTTAATACCTAATACATCAAGATCTCACTAATTGTATTGTATTTTTTTTTTTGTTTACCACCAATGAAGGTGAGCAATACCTCTTGAGTATATCCTGTATATATGCGGTCGTAATTTACGTAATTAACCTGGAAGATAGACCTAGACTGTATCCTTCGTCTGAATAAATTCAGACTGTAAGTCACCTATTGTAAAATGTGGTGTTGTATAAATGTTACAAATAAGTTTGTTTAATGATAAAATGATTACCTTATAAAGAACTTACAATATTATTTTTTCGTATATTGTCCTCTTACTGAAGATATTCATAAAATGTACAGACGCTTCTTGTAGCGAAGCCATTGATTAGGTCAAGCCATTTTGGCAATGCCAATTCTCACGATAAACGAGATTTAGCCAGTGACGTCAGTCTATTTGTAAACAAATAACACGTGGAGCGGACGGAGCAACATTACGGAAGCGTATTGATAAATTCCATTTGTGCGGGAATTTATTAGATCTAGTCATTTATTATCATTATCCCGATTAATTTTCGTCATTTATAGTAAATAGAGGGGAAATATTCATGAAGAAGGCCGAGGTAATCAAGTGGTCATGTGTTGTCAAAGTTCAAAAATTTGCATATCTCGTTTGGATCTCGTGAACTCAAACGTCCTTGCCATTGATTTTGCGATCTACTTATGAACACATCCTGAAGTTTTGGTGAGTCTGAACATTTCATTATTTTATATCAACTTGTACCCGCCTTATACAAATATTTTTGCTTCTAGTTTAAGATGAACATCTCTTCAACATATTCACCAATTTTCAAGGTGAACATTCTTGTAATAAACGAGAAATTCATGTGCACAAAATACCGCCGAGATTGCCATGCCAGGGGTATCAATCATAACAGACCGAATATTATATTCGGTCTGTTGGATACATACTAAAGATAGACCCAGGAAATCCCTCCTTGAAGGAGCCCTGTGTTCTTTTATGTGCACTTATACATAGACATACAAGTACACACCACAGCCTTTTGTACGAGTTGTGGACCACTCAGTCAAACACCCTCAAGTTACTTCCTGCGAAAGCTATTTGGATTTTGATATAATAGCTTTCCCACGGAGCATTTGGACAGCTCAATGATCGTGACCTTTGAAATCGAATTAAGTCGATCCGCGGCTTACTTTTGGTCTCTAACTGTGTCTTACATCAGTATCATCAATCCGTGTAAGTATTGGAGCGCTGGAGTACTTCTTTTTCGATCAAGACTTGTAATTGTAAGTCGAGTAAATCGTTTTACTGCCAAATTCCAATATGGCGGTTTCTGCTCGGACATTTTCGTAAATCTCCGGAGGTTGTCCGAACCTAACTAATTCTCAAAATTCATTTCGTTCGTTGCGTATCTCGCACCTAGCAAACCGCCATATTGGAAATAGGTCTGTAAAACTTTAACTCGATGAACAATTTACAAGTCTTGATCGAAAAAGAAGTACTCCAGCGCTCCAATACTTACACGGATTGACGATACTGATGTAAGACACAGTTAGAGACCAAAAGTAAGCCGCGGATCGACTTAATTCGATTTCAAAGGTCACGATTGATCAGCTGTTCACTTCTCCGTTTGAGAGCCATAAGTTTCAAAATCTAACATGGCTCTCGAAGTGAGTAACCCTCAAGTACTTCACGCAAACAAGCAAATTTAGTCTTGCCTGAACCGGGGATCAAATCTGGGACCTATTGCGTAAGAGGTACATGCGCTACCGCTGAGCTACAAGGGTGGACTATACTAATACCTTCAGAGTTATGCTGAAAACATAGGTGAATATTATCGTGTCACTATATTGTGCTAATAAAAAGAAATGAAAGAAATGGTATACTTTGGAGTATGATACTCCAGTGCCTCTTTCAATCACAGGATCTTGTAGCACGTTTATGATGACTGATATGGGGCTGCCTGATATGGGAGACAGGGCCTATCATAGTGCTCATCTCATATCATAGTGCTACATGGCTCTGTGCTTTCAATAGCTTTTACTCTTAGCGTTGTTGGACTTTAAATTTCGAATTTGGAGGGAATCTTTGAGGGATTCATTTGTTCTGAGAGTGGGTAAGGTCACAAGTCTCTGTTTAGGCCCAAAGAGGACTTAATACAACTTCCTGAGAGAAAAATGAGATCATACTGAAAATAAAATCATGAAATTCTACTCACGTTTCATTGTCTTTGGTTGTCTTTTTCGCTTTTGGTGAGGTAAAAAACGATCTGGAATTGAAAGAAATATATCTATATCTGACATGGACTGCTTGAAAATATTTATACATTGATAACAAATGATGATTTGCTATACTTACGTGATTGATCGTTGAGACATTGTAAATTGTTTAGATTCTGCAATTTCCCGCCATTAAGGTCAAGGTCATTGAAATATTTTGACAACGAGATCTACCATTTTGGTAACTAATTTTATGGATTCCGCAAACGTACAAATTGGAAAATTTTCTACAGGGTGTTCAAAAATGGTTTGGGTAAAAAGGCATGGGGTGTTGTATTTAGCAGTATAGCGCGCCTTTGGCCATTTGGGCCGTGTACACGCTCGGTGATCGTACAAAATAGATGGAGGGGGGGGGGGATTAGGCGTTTTCTGCAAGAAAACTCAACTATAATTTGGAAGATTTATTTTTTCAAGAGAAAATTTACGACTGAATTGCCAAATGAATGGGCGCAGTGCATGGCAAAATGTGTTAGGTCATCTAGTATTTTTTTTGAACTGATACCCTTCTAAGATATGAGATCTATTAAATAAGGCGCATCATCACAAATGTGCAAAAGTCTATGTTTTTGCTATAAATCGACCTGTGATACTGGTATAAGGGAAGTTATTATCACAATACTAATGACATTGCTCACTTTTTAAAGTCAGTTTCCATGCGTTATACAAAAATATTCGAAATAGATTAATATTGGATGGAGGGGGAGGTGGATGGAGGGGGGAATTTATATCATTTTTGGATGGAACAAATTCACAAGAACTCGTGTATTTGAAAAAACTAAACTCAGAACCTGGATATTAAGCCTATATCTTTGGAGAATGAAAAATGGGAAAATTTGGAGTCAGAAGAATAAATTCAAGTAGCATTGTCTTAACTGTCTTATATACACATTATCCCCCCTTCATCCAATCGGTGATCAGTTGGTGAAGATGTGCCTTTTTTAATATATAGCTCCTATATAAAACTTATCTACATGTACCTAATTGAACATAAAGCTGTCAGCATTAACATTAAAAGGTCATGTAAGGTCACGCCACTGTGTTGGAGAATTGTAGCCAGCCGAAAGGAGCACGTAGGGTTATCGCAAACAATTTCAGAAGGTTATATCTTGGATTATGACTATTTTCTGACAATGAAGACAGGTTTTTCTTTTAGATCAATTCATTATCTCAAAGAAAATTATATACAGTAATAATAAAGTCAAACAAACTCGGAGATATTTAACTAGCAATCAACCCATCAACACACATTTATAAAAGATGTTGACCCCATTTTCACCAAAAATGCAATCATTTTTTACAATGTTTAATGCATTACTATTTTTCATTTGGATGTATCAAATAGTTCTTGAAAGGAAAACCTAATTGCTTTAAGATAAGTATTCCCCATGTTATTTCTCCATTGAAAAATCTCATGCTATCCATTGGTTTCAGTTCATTTTGGTCATCAAAATTCAGTATCTCTAAAGTCCCTGGGGCAATCAACTTTTCCGTTTAGGAAACCGAACACGTCTCAAAGCACATTCTAATTATGCATTCAACAATATAATAAAAGGTTGCATTTTTGGTGAAAATTAGGTCAACATTTTTGAAAAAGTATGTTGATTGGTCCATTGCCCCTTCAATATCACTTAGGTCTGATAACTAAAACATCATTATATATACTTTTATTGAAGATAATGAATGGATCTATAAGATACACCCATGTTCATGGTCAGAAAATATTCATAATTCAAGTTAGAATCGTTTGAAATTGTTTGCGATAACTTACGTGCTTCTTTGATACATTTTTAATATTTTTATAAATTGCTTTTAGCACAAGATAGCTTCGAACATGCGTTTAGGCCAAAATAGCTTGGCCTGATCTCATATCTTAGAAAGGTATCAGTTAAAAAAAATACTCGACCTAACATATTTTGCCATGCACTGCGCCTATTCATTTGGCAATTCAGTTGTAAATTTTCTCTTGAAAAAAATAATTTTTCCAAAATTGTTGAGTTTTCTTGCAGAAATCGCCTAATCCCTCCTCCATCCATTTCGTGCGATCACCGGGCGTGGTATAGGCTACCATTATTTGGCCAATTTACACATAGTTAGGCAAAGTGTGAGTTATCATCATTTTTGCACTGTTTGAATGATCTTTCAAAGTTTTTAAACTAGTCCCCCCAGAGTAACCACCCCCCCCTCCACTGGCGGATATGGGGGGGGGCCCAGGGGCCCGGGCCCCCCCCCTTGGGTGGGCCCAGAAAAAAAAAAAAATTTTGAGCCTAAAAAGGCTTTAAGGCCCCAAAAAGTAGGCCTTTTTGGTCATAAATTGGCCTTGTAAGGCCTTATTTGTTAATTTTAGGCCAAATATTGAAGAAAATGGGCCTCAAAATTTCAAAATTTGGGCCCACTTTTGGGTTTATGGGGCCCAACATTTTTGAATTTGGAAGTTTTTTCCTAAGACCACAAGTTTGGGCCCCCCCCATGTTGGTTCCCAGATCCGCCCCTGCCCTCCCTCGGCAAAAACTGACTATGGCATGGGTATCATCTACGTTCACTCGGCAGTGAAGACCGAGCGTGCGAAGATGATGGGTATAGGGCTGAGAAGATTTGAGATCTCAAGGTTTATCATGCTGTATCCGATTCTATGTTAGGCGTGATATCAAAATAATAAATGAATTTGATAAAAGATAAAATGTTGTTGGGTATTTCAATTAAACGATACTACGGTCACTCATAATAGTATGTCTATAATCATGAATATTAGCATACTTAAAGATTTTGATTATTCGTCTCAAGACGTGTCAAGACTTTTTGTCACGCTCTAAACACGTCTTTGCACTGTGTGTGTGCTTAGACGAAAGAACTGAGTTCCGCAGATATAAGGCAGTACTTTTCGGAATTGCAATAATACCATTTATCCTATGCCAAGTAGAGTTTTAGGGAGATAAGTTGGTAAGATATATCCCGTATCCTGATTTTGAGGTTTCCATATCCAGAACCTCCATATCTCTCGCCATATATCCCGCTTCAGTGCATATCTTCCCGCTTCGGTGCATATCTTCCCGCTTCCGGTAAGTAGTGGAAATGCAATAAAATGACTTTGCATATGAATGATTTGTTTATTTTTACACCTTGTACTATTGAAATGGCCATATGCCCCTGAAAACTCTACTTGGTATAGGATAAAGCAGTTATGTACGGTCGGTTTGGATATTGGGTTCATCCCTCGTGAAATATGCACATCTACCTTCGGTCCCTACGGTCCCTCAGGTAGATATGCATATCTCCCTCTGGATAAACCCCATATCCAAAACCTCCCAGTACATAACCCTTATTTATTTGAAAGGTGATTGGCTTTCTTACCCTAGACAAACTGGGATTCTACCAGTTTGATAAGGTCCGGACTTGGCCTAATTTAATTAGAATCAAATTCGCACTGATAAGGTGTCAGACCTTTTTCTCAGAATCTGGGATATAACACTTCAGCTTGGAATGACTACCTTCTAAAATCCATATAAATAGGCACTGCCATTGGATGGTCCAGTGACATAGTTTAGAACTGCATCAACACGTTTGAAACCACGCGGCAAGATCCCCGGGGGCAAGATCGACAAAAGTATTAACAATTTCAGCAGATTAATTGTTTTTGGTAAGTCCCTAAATTTTCATTCATTTATCATACGATTAGTTAGAGCGATAAGAATGAATGACTTAATTGTTTTTTAAGAATTTTAAAAGTAAGGTTTACCGGTACCATTATCGAAGATTTTTGATTTTAAGGTCCTATTGCAATGGATCCATCTGTGTTGTTAGCAGCTGCTCTGCTGATGTGCTTATATGGGCGTTATAAGAGATGATTATATATAAAGGAGATGATTGCGTCAACTCAAGCATATCTGAGAGAGCAAAACGTTCAGTTTCACCCTTGGTATACGCAGCTAACGAAAACTGACCGATACGGGTCAAAAGCTGGACCGGCACGGGTTAACGGTTTTATTTGAATTTAAAATAGCCATAACTTGCTCAATATTGACTTCCTCGTGTCTAATTTGAAATATATGATGCCTCCCGATGCTTTTAAGTACCCCGATTTTTTACAGATTTTTAAACGGACCAAAACTCTCTAAATGCGCATTTATGCTCTTTTCTCTCGAGAACGACTGTCTCATTTTCACGATAACTTTTATTTAGTACTTCTTACATATAAGATCTATTTTTCCCCATCAAGGTATGATGTAAATGACATGCTATTTACATCTTGTGAGTTTCAATGACGCGCGTTTGATTTTATAAAAAATGCCAAACTTTGTGACAAAGAATTTCATCCTGCTTGCAGCGAGAAGACGGACCGGTTCGGGGCAATCTGCTTGCAGAGAGAAGACGGACCGGTTCGGGGCAATAGCTGATGAAATTCTTTGTCACAAAGTTTGGCATTTTTTATAAAATCAAACGCGCGTCATTGAAACTCACAAGATGTAAATAGCATGTCATTTACATCATACCTTGATGGGGAAAAATAGATCTTATATGTTAGAAGTACTAAATAAAAGTTATCGTGAAAATGAGACATTCGTTCTCGAGAGAAAAGAGCATAAATGCGCATTTAGAGAGTTTTGGTCCGTTTAAAAATCTGTAAAAAATTGGGGTACTTAAAAGCATCGAGAGGCATCATATATTTCAAATTAGACACGAGGAAGTCAATATTGAGCAAGTTATGGCTGTTTTAAATTCAAATAAAACCGTTAACCCGTACCGGTCCAGCTTTTGACCCGTACCGGTCAATTTTCGTTAGCTGCGTATACCAAGGGTGAGTTTTAAGCATTGTAAGTTGCATTCCTTTGAAATGCGTCCATTGTTTAAATTGATCATGTATTAATGTATCCGTCAAAATAAAAATGTGATGTGCGCAGATTTGATAATATGGATTTTATGAATATGATAAACGCAAGTGGCTGAAGAATATGTGACGGGTTTTAAAGAGTTTAATAAAAATCTGAGTTTTTCAAATAGCTTTTCATAACACTGGTGATCCACTCGATTACGCTGGTTACCGAAAAGGTTCGTTTTGGTAACAAAATGTCGGAACGTCGAAGGTACGATTTTTCTTTTTTCCTTATTTCACGCGTTGAAGGCAGAATTCCCAGGACATTTTTATCACAAATGTGTATCAGTATCATATGTTTAAGAAAATGTAGATATTTGCGAACTAATAGTTCAGAAGACAACAGAATCATCGATTTAATTCCTCACTTAAGTTACAAGAACGGTATTTCAAAAAACAGTTAAGATCTGCACTTTTAACCAATACCGTTTATGTAACTTAGTGAGGAATCAAATCGACGATTCTATTGTCTTCGGGGCTATTTTTTCACAAACATGTACATTTTCTAAAATATATGATACTGATATACGTTTGTGAGAAAAAATGTCATGGGGATTCTGCCTACAACGCGTGAAATAAGGAAAAAAGAAAAATCGTACCTTCGACGTTCCGACATTTTGTTACCGAAACAATCGAGCGGATCACACCAGCGCATGACAAATGGACGATAATGGTGGCTTAAAAATGTAATGAAGTCAAAGGATAAATATATTGCAGAGTTTGAATTACAGTAAATTGGATCATCGGTTAAATTTATACATGATATAAACAAGACAATGCTTACTATAGTTATTCTGCCAGAAACTAACAATACAAAATTTTTAATTTACCATTTTGATTTGTTTTCAACTATAATCAGAAACGAAAATAAGACTAGCGTCATTCATAGAGCAATGAGATACACGTTCAATTTTATATTAAGATATACATCTTCCTCTACAAATGTACCTGCTTTCAGCCGACTGATCTAAGGGGAGGGGTTAACCCTTAAAACAGCCTCTTATTTCAATCCCTTCCTTCCTAATATTATAATGCCTTGGTACGATTGACTATCGGTTAGTAGGACTGGCAACTCTTATATTTTTAGAGAGCCCATCATTCAAATTGTCGGACTGTTGTTGGACCAGCGGAACTTGTCGCAGGCCGCCGGTTAGAGTTCCTAGATAGACATCACGTGAACTGTATTCACCCAGACGAGTTTCTTGTATCTTGGAGACTTCAGAAACGGCCCCCACACATCAAAAACAACCAATACCAATCGATGGTCTTCAAGTGCTGCCAAATAAGCATCGATGTCCCTGACTTTGATAAATAACCTAGTGTGTGGTCAGGATACCATTTGACGATTTAAGTAGCAAAACTAGCATTACAAGTACAGTAAAACGTGAAACAAAAGTGAAGCACCTTTGGTACCTATATAGTGTTCCACTTGGGAGGTGTTTCAATTATAGAGGTTCATTTAACGTTAAACCATTTGGTATTTGGACTATGAGAAGTGTTCCACTGAAAGGGGTGTTCCACTGTACAAGCTGCACTGGATGTTCAATTAATCAGACGTTTGCTTATTTACCGTCTCTTAAAACGTGAATGCAAAACTATAAATAAATAAATAAATATTTAACTTTTATATTCTACAAACTAGACTTTTATATATTCTATTGGATGTGTTACGCGGTATATGGCATACATTTATGGTTGCGCGGTATTTGTGATACTACAAGTTATTGAATGATTTGAAGTGCAATATAGAATATTTTCAGCTCGATAAAATTCCGTTTTGGAACAAGCCGAAGTCGAGTGCCAATGCAGAATATCGACACAGAATATATCCTGTATTGCACTTCAAATCATTCAATAACGTTTTTATCGTGTGATCCTCTGTATTATTGCTACTGAGATCGTCCCCTCCGTACCAATATTTTCTGTATTGCGACGGAGATGATCAACGGGGACAATCTCAGTAGGAATACAGATTGGTACAGCACAAGAACTGACCAATCAGAGGGCTTCATTTTTCAGATCATACGATAAAAGTGAATATGGCATACTCATCTGCGGTATCTGACATATTCCGCAAGTGAGTATGGTATATTCCGCATTGGAATATGATAAAGTGAATACCTCATATTCACCTGCGTAATATGACATATTCACTCGGAGAATATGACATACATGTTGCGGAATATGGCATTTACCGCGCGGTGAATGTCATACAAAATTCTCTTGATTTGATTGGTTTAGAGAATCAACACTAAATGTAAAACTATAATGGATTGCCATTGTTTTTATCGCTTCGAGCACTTAACTATGAATCCTGGAGTGATTGAGTAAGTTGATTATATGTGATCGGTAAATGATACGTCGGAAAGTATCAGTAACGTATTAACCGCGATCAAATACTCGTGTTTTTCAGGTTTTTATCTGGTCTTTGTAAACTGTTGATTTGGTTGTAAAAGTCACTCATAAGCTTCACGGACGTAGATTCATTTATTTATTTAAAAATATTTGCATCACTCTAAAATGGAGTGGTAAGATCAATGTTTAAAAGTTTCACAACAGTACACAAGAAAGGTAGTAGAATTGCCAAGACTTTTGACATGTTTGAATTGTCTGTAAAACATACGTAAGTTCTCTTACCCATTCTTTAAACTACTTTTCATAATAACATAAATCCTTCATTGTATAATACATTTATTTGATAACAATGGTGTTTTATGTATATTATTAACGTACACAAATAAATAAGATTATTCAATCAAAATATAAAACAAGGCATCATACATATCCGATTCTACCTACCCCGAACACATTGTAAAGCACGAGAATACGGGCCGGGATAGGTCATTCATATCTGACAAATTATTTTAATCACAAATACAATTTATTCCATTTTCAAAGATGATCGTACGCGTCTCGTGTATTAAATATTCATTTCGGCAAGTATTCATTTCAGCCGAAACTGATTATAGTTGATGATTGATCATGGTCCTCATTGGAATCAGAGAGTTAACCAACTGTCTATCCGAGAATACATATGATAACTTTGTTTAATATGATTACATAATCCGAGATAAAATAGTAAATAACCTAACTGATATCAAGAGTTCAATGTTTCCATTTAGAATCCGTTTTCAATAGTTAGAATGGGGGTTCTTAAACAGGACATTAGGTGTGGTTTTTATGTTGTTACTTGCACTGTTTGCCACATCCTTGGAGTGAATTCAAGGGTTCAGGACTTTGGCATGGCCAGCGTGTCAATCTTTACACGACAGAGTCAAAGCCGATGTGTTTATTCAGTTCTACTCAAGTTTAAAAGTAAGAACTGATGTTTAAGTTTAATTATCCCTGTTAACTACTCTCCAGATGTATTTAAATTGACGAAGAACACATTTGGTGACGTCACAATCATGAACGTGCTTAGAGATGTCTAGTGCACCCGGCGTGCTTAAAATTAGTTTCTAGACGTGCTTAGAGTTGGAATCCAATATTTTACGCAGTGAGATTTTACTACCTACTATTATAAAACGTGCAGACACTCTCTATAACATGGAAGGAAGTGAGGATGGAACTAGGCCCCCCTTGGTTTAAATCAATTCATTTACATGTTTATGAATAACAATGCCTATTATGGTCCATTATTGTGTGTTCCCATGGGATTCTTGTATGGTATTCATCATTCTGATAGTTTTCGTTGAATTCAGAAGACAAATTTTCAGTCTGTAAAATCAAGAACATACATGTAAATATAAATGCCAGAACCACTGGTCGGTATCAAGGGAAGGTTACAGCCGTCACCTTTGCATTCAAGATGGCGGACGGGAAGGGTCGATTTTGATATTTTTAGTTTTCATAGAATTAAACTACGTTATACTTGACGAAATGCTTTGATATTTGAACTAAACCAGGCTTGATATGACATGGAGACTATGAAGCAGGATCATTTGTTCACATATCGTGTGTGGGCGCCACAGTCCAACGATATCTCAACGATAGGTTACTGGAAATGTATGATACGGTGATGGTCATGAAACCAAAATCTAAGTTACCTTCCCTTACATGCCTTAAACGGTGAAATGCGGAGCAAAAAGCTTCCTTATATCATAAAGAACCCATGGTATTCTTACCTTGTTAGGAGGGACAGCCAATGACGTCAAACCTCATGGACATATAGACATACCAAGATTGAGGATTAATGCGCACAAATCTAGCAAAGACAGCGGGCTCAATCGTGTTTGTAACTTTGGTGTTAATGTCCACATTTCCTGGGAGAACCTTAAGATAAATAATTTGCAAATAAATGCTTTCATAAAATGTTACAAAAAATCATTAAACAGTTGATGACCGATGTGGTTAGTATATTAACCATATGCTAAGGTCGATAGAAATTATCTTTAAATAAAGATGGCATGGTAGTCGATCTGTGTTTATCTATGTTCTATTTATCTATTTTCTTGTTGGATTTCTTTAAAGTTTTTAGCCACCCTTCCTTTTTGGCATTTGCGCTTATATCTTCTCTTACTAGAGAAAAAGATAATACTGGCTTCTGTTGGTGCTGTCACCTTTATATCGGCCCAGAACCTATGATATTAACCACATCATTCAGAAGGGGTTGCAGATATCACGTTAATTCAAATACTTTCATGGGATTGGTTTTTTATTAGTCCAACAGAGTCAGTGTCAGTTATCCGAAATTTGGATTTTTTAATGTAATGGAACCGCACCGTTGTCGATTTCATTACAATTTTATTACAATCTTGCCTCCAGATTATGAGGCATTTTAAAATTTCATTCATTTGAATAATTACATATAATTACGTTTTAATGTGTATCAACATTTTCTTTGTCGATTTCATTACAACTTCATAACAATTTGTCTTAGATAACGTGTCATTTCAAAATTTCACTCCATTCTTGCAAATGTTAGTCTTATAAAAAATATTATATTACCACTCCATACTCTTCCAGATTGTTCACAGTTGTACCATAGAAGAATTTGTATGATGTAACCCATTGGTTATAGGAATATCTCGATTGAGTGATCACCCCCGTCACTACCATGACTTCACCAAGATCTGCCTGAATCCATTGATTCGTGTCAAGCACACCTGCAGACCACGATCCTCCCCTGTTTCCATTAGAAAGAATGCAAAACTTATGGAGGATAATAATAAAAGCAACACACATGCTATGCCCGACCCTCCCCCCCCCCCCCCCTGGTTAGTGAAACAGTAATAATCAGTGAAATAATTATATACCACAATAATACCAGTAACAATAATATACAAGACATTAACTTGCAATATGTCACTACCTGCCATTTGTTATATTAGCCCTTACGCCGACCCTTTTACACCGGCAACAAAATGTTGGGGACTATGACAACATGCCAAAACTTCGGTGACATAATAAAACAGAGCAGTAATATATAAAAGCGTCGAAGAATAACGCATAACAGACGAATAGCATAAGACAGCAGAGAAGAAACACTTAATAGCCAATATGAAGAATAAAATAAAACATATATTTGATTATCGAATGCCTGTTTGAATTAATGATATTGAAAAATAAAATTGAATATCGGAGGTGTGTTATTATTGCAATGAAATATATAGAGATTATCCTATATGAGGTTCAGGATATTGGGATTATCCCGAGGCAAATATAATATATTTGCCCGAGGGCCGCATATATAGGGGTTATGCACTGGGAGGTTTTGGATACAGGGAATATCCCGAGGGATATACAATATATCTTCCCGAGGGACCGAAGGGACCGAGGGAAGATGTATTGTATATCCCAAGGGATATTCCATGTATCCAAACCGACCGTGCATAACTGGTGTATCTCATACTTGAGTGGGTTTAGGGTAGATATAACCTTTTCCACCTTTTTCAAATGACAAGATATTTATATTTAACATTTTCGTAATATTCTTTTTGTTCAATACAATGAAATTGTAACATTTAAACTTAAAAAAATTAAATTTTAAAATTAAAAAATTAAAACTTTTGAAATTTAAACTTTTTTAAACTTTTGAAAAATTCCCGGGAGCGGGATGGATATATTATATCTGCCCGCATTTGGCCTGGAGCGGGACATATACAATATATCCTGCCCGCTCCTCAGATACGATATATATTCCCGGGTGATATCTACCCCAAACCCACTCAAGTATGAGATACAGGATAATATGTTTATCCCATACCAATCTTGGTCATCTGGTTCAAATTGTTCAATCGTGGATATATTTTAGAATATTCATGTCCAGTTTTGTTTTCTTGGCCATGGGTGGATTTTCCTGTTCTCTCAAATATTCCCATATTTATTTTCTCGAATTTTTGATTGATTAAGTGGATGCTCCTTGCTATCAAACAGATCCCGATTGTCTGTGTTTTCTCCACAGTCATTACGCGAACGTTACAAATCAAGGAGGATTGGAAGCCAGGGTTCCAACTCGATATTCTTTAATCTCCACGCATGCGTCATTTGCTATTCGTGTCTGTATAATTTGTACGACTGCATGGAGAATGACCCGATACTCTCCAACAAAGCTATCGCTAGGTGATTGTTTTGCAGAATATCGGTGTTGCATTCTGGGAGCCAATCCTCCTTGGTTACAAATTATGAACAAATATGCGAGCGACGATTATGACGTAGCGGGCAGATATACTATATCTGCCCGCTCGGAGCGGGACGTAAAGCTATGTATTACATACCTAGCGAAGCATTTGTATGGAAGTCAATGGGAAAGTTAGCGAGCTATATCTTCTTCTTCTTCTTCTTCTTCTTCTATTACAGTACAGACTCCTCTTTAGGATATTTCGTACTATGTGTGCTTGCGTGCGGTGTATATACAATTGTAGTGTGAGTGTGCATTAAAATGTCTAAAATCGTTTTAAAATCGTCATCACTTAGTACGAAAGCATCACACTCCCTGCCTCCTTCTTAAAAATGTCCAGGGAATCGATCATGGCTACATTTGCTGGAAGAAGGTTCCATAGTCGTATGGTTGCAGGGAAAAATGAGTAAAGATGTAAATCTACTCTTGAGGATGGGACAAGGTAGCGTAGGTTGTGACCCCTGGTCACAGATCCTACTGGCTCGAGGTATGCCGCTGGTGGAATGGCTACCTTATGGTGGACTATCTTGTAAAGCATGACTACTCTTGTCAAATTACGTCTGTCTTGTAGTGGTGGCAGCTGCAGATTCCTCAGCATGGTGGTAGGGCTGCTGGTTTGTCTGTAATCTTGTGTTATAAATCTGGCTGCTCGTCGCTGTACTCCCTCCACCTGCCCGATTGCCTTCTTCGTGTAAGGGGACCATACGGAAGAGGCATATTCCAGCTGTGGTCTAACAAAGGTGGTGTATGCTTGTTTCCTCACATTGCTGGGGCAGGAGCTGATGTTACGACGGAGGAAGCCCAGGGTGGAGTTGGCTTTCTTGGTGATAGCAGACACGTGAGGATTCCAAGATAAGGTGTTACTGATGTTTACACCTAAGTACTTAGCAGTGTCCACTGCACATAACGGTTGGTCATGGATGCAGTACTGGTGTAAACGAGGTGATCTTTTCTTGGATATGTGTAGTACCTCACATTTGTCTGGGTTGAATCGCATCAACCAAGAATCCTCCCATCTTTGTAGAGTGTCCAGGTCTTGTTGGAGTCTCTTCGCATCCATCTCAGATTTCACTCTGCGATACATCAAGCAATCATCTGCAAAGAGGCGAGTGGTAGAAGTTACAGCCTCTGGCAGGTCATTGATGTATGCAAGGAATAACAGTGGTCCTAAAACAGTCCCTTGGGGCACTCCCGATGTTACTGGAGCTGATTTGGACTGTTCACCATCAAGGACAACACACTGTGTTCGATCTGTGAGGAAGTCTTTGATCCAAGCATGGGTTGATCCTGTAATGCCATAGAACTGAAGTTTATGGAGCAGCCTTCTGTGTGGGACTTTATCAAAAGCCTTGGAGAAGTCAAGCAAGATTGCATCAGCTTGATCTCCGTTATTCAGTTCTCTTGCAAGGTCGTGGATGGTTACGATCAGCTGCGTTTCACAGGATCTCTCAGCCCGAAACCCATGTTGGAAGTTGGTAAGAATTTTGTTTGTTTCCAGGTGTTTCATTGTCTCGCTGAAGATGATGTGTTCAAGAACTTTACAGCATATTGATGTAAGTGAGACTGGCCTGTAATTAGATGCCAACGATCGATCACCCTTTTTGAAAAGGGCTACAATGTTAGCATCTTTCCAGACTTTTGGGATCTTGCCCTGATTAAGGGAAGCCTGGAAGATCAGGCTAATCGCTGGTGCAATCTCACTTGCTGTCATCTTCAGGAATTGTGCTGATATGTTGTCCGGTCCGGTGGCTTTGTGTGGTTTTAAGGTCTTAAGTTGTTTGAGCACTCCATCAACATGAATACTGATATTCGGCATTCTAGGATGGGGAGAAGGGCCTTTGTTGGGAATGGCACCTTCTGGCTCATGAGTAAAAACTGACACAAATTGGTCATTGAGCACCTCTGCCTTGGCTTTACTTGAGCTGAATGTTGTGCCATCACGCTTCAAAGGGGCCACACCTGAGTTGTCACATTTCTTGGACTTAATAAAGCTAAAGAAGCGTTTGTTACAACCGTCACCCACCAAGCCATCCAAATAGGTGTTATATGCTTTTTTGCATTCTCGCTGGGACTTGTTCTTCACTGAACGATAATAGTTCCAGTCCTGCGAGCGTTTGGATTTCCGGGCACGGTTGTATGCACGCTTCCACCGATATTGCCCGATTACCCCGATATAGCCCGCTTACCTCGTTTTGATATTAGATTTCTTTAATAACCATGATAATATCATGACGTCACGTCATTGATACAAAGTAACCATGGGAACAAAGGCATGTAATACATCAGTTATGTCACTATGACGTGAAATATGCCTTCGTTCTTGCCCAAATATAGAGCCTCCCAAGGTCGGCCTATATTGGGAGAACTCAGGCATATTTCACGTCATAGTGACATAACCTCTAAGTATCTCATACTTGAGTGGGTTTTGGCATTGCACAAAATTTGTCCAATATTTCACTGCGCATGTGCAGACCCATAACTTCCGGTTTTCCAAAGCCTAGGGGATTTATAATGGAGACATTTTTCGAACGCTTACTGTGCGAATGATATTGATTTGCCACCTTAGTCATCTCAGGTTTCTATAACTAGACATCAACCTTTACTGATTTAACATGTTTTAAGCAATGTACACATGCACACTTTTCGGCCAATTTGTTTTGAAAAAATCATGAGGAATTCATGCATGACTCCATTGAAATCCATTAGAAATGGCGTCAAAATAGTGAAATGAGGATATTCAACGATCTGGTAGAGGTACTTAAAATCATATGGTATCTTAGTCATCTCAGGTTTCTGTAACTTTGAAGGTAGATCTGTTTGATTCCGTTGAGATTAGAATCCTCATACCTTTAACTTTTCGGCCAATTTCAAACAAAATATGATAACTTTTGGTGATATAACTGGTTCATTACATTGGAATGACGTCAAAATAAAATAAGACAATCTCAGTTTCTATGGCACTGACGTCATGACGTCAGATTTATCTTAAGATCTCAAATATGACGTCATGTTTAATCAATGAATGACATCTATCGGCTATTCGACCAATTCTGTGCAATGGGTAGATATCACCCGGGAATATATATCGTATCTGAGGAGCGGGCAGGATATATTGTATATGTCCCGCTCCAGGCCAAATGCGGGCAGATATAATATATACATCCCGCTCCCGGGAATTTTTCAAAAGTTTAAATATCAAAAGTTTTAATTTTTTAATTTTGAAATTTAATTTTTTTAAGTTTAAATGTTACAATTTCATTGTATTGAACAAAAACAATATTACGAAAATGTTAAATATAAATATCTTGTCATTTGAAAAAGATGGAAAAGGTTATGTCTACCCTAAACCCATTCAAGCATGAGATACATCAGTTATGCACGGTCGGTTTGGATACATGGAATATCCCTTGGGATATACAATACATCTTCCCTCGGTCCCTTCGGTCCCTCGGGAAGATATATTGTATATCCCTCGGGATATTCCCTGTATCCAAAACCTCCCAGTG